TCAAGCGTTTTGTAAACAGACTCTTTTAATGCCCCGGCGATGCTGAAGTCAGTGCATCACTCTTCGATGAATAACGTCGGAACGATCGTAAATAATAATCTATTGCTGGATTAATCCCCAGACTTCAGTCTTAAATGTTGCACGATCTTCGAGCTCACTGCTTTGTCTCGGATCTTTGTACTTGGAACTGATGCCCCTCAATGCTCTGTAAACTAACTCCATTAATACCTCGGCTATGCTGAAGTTTGTGCTTCACTCCTTGATGGTTAACGATGGAATAATTGTGGATGAGAATCTACTGCTGGATTACTCCTTAGATCAGTGGATTATCATATCAGTCTCGAATGATGCACGATCTTCGAGAAAATCTCATTCTTGTACTCTGGACTTCTTTTTAGCCCTCGATGCATGTCTGTGTATGCGATCGCTTGATTGAAAACTTTTATCTCTTCTTGTGAAAATTCTCTCTCGAATATCCCCTTACGGATCAACACTTTTGCATTATGATGATGCAATGCAATGTAAAGAAGAATGAAAAAAAACAAAAACAATAGAAAATAAATAAGTTAGTGCACACAAAGAAAAGAAAAGAAATTAGTTAGTACAGGTAAGACAATCGATATATATAAAAATATTATTTAGAGATGAATATAACCTACCCATCATGATATCTACCCAAACATGCTTTCAATAGAAACAATCCTACCGGACATGCTATCTACCAAAATTGATTTAATTTCAAGAAAATAATCCTAACCGCATGATATCTCACTATATGCATGGTTTCGGTTCTAACAGGAAAGGGGACTCGAATTGTCCTTGATGTCGATGCCCCCTTGGGCTGCCAAACCCTCGATCCTCACCCATTACAGGTTTCAAGCAGAACGAGTTCAATTCGAGGGGATTCACTGCCTTATACCCATGCGAGGAATAAATTCCTACGAAGGTATAAGGTATGTATCCCATGGGTTATTTGCTAAAACTCATACGAAGAATAAATTCTTACGAGAGTAAAGCATTCACCCCGACTAATTTGGATCGAAGCTCGTGTCTAGAGCTTATGTTATGCCAATGCGAGTGATGTGTGTGAGGAGGAACATACCTGCCTTTGACTAAAAATGAAAAGAAAGAAAGAAAAAAACTCGACAAAAACTTGGACAGAGCCTGAAAGCAAAAAGATAAAATGTTAGTATGATATTAAAAATGAAGCAATTAAAACTTCAATAAATGGATCATAAATTAACTAAAAACTAGAAATCATAATTTCCACCAAGATGACAATATGTAAACGACATAGAGCCTGACTCTCTAAAAAAAGGTCCCCAGCGGAGTCGCCAAGCTGTCATAACCATTTTTTAGGTGGAACAATTAAATATTATTTTTAAAACGATTATGACTTTTATTTTGAAAAATTGAGTATTTTGGATTAATTTTAAATTGAATAGAGTCGCCATCGACCTTTGGGTTAGTAGGTCGAATACCTAAAAACGTCTTTTAAAAGAAATTTAAGAAAAATCATTTTTTAAGACAAAAATGGTCTACATTTACCAGAAATCAAATTTAACGGGTTCGGGAGTCGGTTACGTGTGGGGAAGGATAAGCACCCCCACAGCGCCCAAAAATGGTACTGTGTCGCGTACACATTGTCGTAAATGATGGAAATGATAAATCGAATATAAAAGTAACCTATGATCCATTTATTGAGATTTATTTAATTTGCCTCGAATTATTTAAAGAAAATCCTTTAACTCAATCAGAAATCTTGAAATTTGCAATCCTCCGTCGGGAAAGCTATTTCAACCATTTCTCATTCGTAAAAGAATATTCTACCATTGATTATGTTAAAAATACAAATCGAATATAACTAAAAACAATGTTTACATACGAATAAATTGATTAACTAAAAACGTGAATTGAATACAAATTAAAAATTTTGAAATTTACATTCACATAAAATAAAGTAAATTGTCACTTAAATAACACACATTGCATCGTTTGAACAAATTAATTAGCAAAATATACTCAACTTATTTCAAGTTTCTATGTCGTTAAAATGCCGTACCGGATCACACCACTTCGACCAAGTGGTACTTTCCACGCTCATTCTACGCATATGTATTCTTGAAAATAAAATCGAAAATCAAATATTTCATACATAGATACAAATATAATGAGAATAAATGTAATTGGAAATAAAAATTTACATTAAATGGAATTAAACACATTATTTACATAATACAAATAACCGAATAACAAGTACAATAAAATCATACCTAAATGAATAAAAAAATTATAGATCTAAACACAAATATAAATAATCACATTTGATTTTAAGGTACCAAAATAAAAATAAAAACCTAAAGGAATAAATAACAAATAAAACAATAATCCAGGGCCAAGAACAAAATATTAAACAGTATGCAAATCATACACAAATAAGATTAGGGACCAAGATGAAAATAAGAAACTTAAAAGGCTAAACAATAATTATAAATAAAGAAGAGCCCAGATAGCAAACATTAAATAATACATGAACCAGAAATATAAACCCATAAATAATACTTAGGACTAGATTGCATTAAAATATAAACATGAAGGCTGAATAAAAATTAAACCAAAGTAAAACAGTGACCAAAATGAAAGATTTACAAATGTTGCTGTCAAATTCGAACATAAAAAAACATAACATATGATCAGTGACTAAAATGTAATATACATAAATATCATATCCAAATTCGAACGTTCACAAAAAATAAGCAATACACAAAAACCCGTGACTAAATTAAAATAATTATAAATATTGGGACCAAAGTCACATATAACCAGAATAGCATAACAAGTAATAGCAGGACTAAAATGTAAGGAAGGAAAAATAAAGGCTCGAAATAAAATAATATATAACTTTATTATATGGCTTAATAATTATTACAAAGAGCGGGGGACTAAACGTGTAGTTAACCCAAATAAACGTGTAGTTAACCCAAATGATGAAATTACATTGGTCCCCATTGAACACGTCGTTTTTGGTTTGTAGATATAAGCCCAAAACCAGCTTAATTTCTTCTCCATTTCTCATTTTTTTCGTTTTGACAAAAATCAGAGAGAGACTCTCAACTCTCTCATCGGAGGGAAAACCAACTGCCACCGCCGGTGGCGCTCACGGCGGCACTCGCGGTGGTCGACGGTGGCCGGAGAGAGCGAAACTTCTCACAACGTTCCTCTCTTAGCTCTCAACCCAAATCTAAAGTCCCTACCCCAAAATCCAAACAGAAAACCCTAGATTAGGATTTACTCACGGAAAACCGAGACTCCAACGACCCTTTGGACTTCCGATGGTTCCTCCGATCAAGGTATGGGTTCCCCTCTCTCTGTTTTTTTCTTTCGTATTTTTGTTTGAATGGGATGGATGGTTTTTTCTCTCGGTTTCTTTCTTTTCTTTCCTCTGTGTATTTTTCTCTTCTTTCTTTTTCTTTTGTTCGAATCTGGTATGTTCTTCTCTGTTTTTTCGTTTTTTTTTTCTCTCTCTCCCAACCCCAAAAAACTCTCTCTTGTCTTCTTTTCCTTTTATTTATGCATGTGTGATGGTTGATGGATAGCTTTGTTTGCTGCCCGAGGAAATAGGGCTTGAGTGCCTAGATTTGTAGACCCGATTTTCCTCGGGATCTCTTGTCCTTGTTTTGATTTTTGATTAATTTTTTACTGTTGAGAGCTTTTGGTCACTGTTTGGTGCAGGTTTGAGAACGGCGGTGAATCGGTGCTCGAAAATGCTTACACGGTGAAGGGAATCCGGCTTGAGCGGCTCGGGAACTCGGCGACAACTCGGCTCACGGTTGGAAAGTTGAGAAGTTGAAGGCGGCGGCGCTGGAAAGTTGAAGAGACAGTGGCTGAGCTTCAGTTTAGGGTTTAGAAAACCCTAAAATTATTGGGTTGTCATATGTGGGTGGGATCCCAGCTGTTTGGGTCAACAGCTTGGGGTTAGTCTGCTGGTAAACTGGGCCTTGGATGGCTAGTTGTAATTGGGCTTCGGATCATTGTTGGGCCTGCAAAATATGTAAATTAAAGAGGAAAAGACCCGGACAAAAACGGGTGTCTACATTTGTTCGTGTACGTTAGATTTATTTACAAACCTATTTTCAGATGATTGAACTGGAAATAATTGAAAGATTAGAGTGTTTAGGGTTGTTTGAAATACATTGGAGGTGATAATGTGTTTGAAAAAAATTGAAAATTAAAAGTTTCGGAGAAAATTAGATATAAAACATTGTTTAATGATCTATTTGATGTTTTAGGAGAAGTTTAAGAGTAAAAATAAACATTTAAATTTTTTTATTAATGTTGTCATCTTATTAATTTAACGGAGATGACAGTGGAGTAATTATTTTGTTATAAACTAATAACATTAGTGATTATTTTGTTACAAATCGATAATATTAATGACTAATATGTTACATTTAAAACATCAATGAAGGAAACAAAAACTTACTCAAATATTAATGATTATTTGTATTGTTTAACCTAAAAGTAAAAAAAAACCCTCGTGTTAGGGTTTTACCGTACTGAGTTATCCTATAGATCCTAATTAGGGTTTTATCAACTCGCCGTGTGGGGTAGCCTAACTCGGCATGAGTCCATGCCTCGTTTCATGCGCCAATAGAATGCCCTAGAAGAATACCCAGCGCCAAAATTTTCACCAGCAACACATATAAGGCCGTGTTTGTTTCTCTATTTCCTTTCTATGGATCAGGCCAAGTGTTATTTTCACTTGTATATTGTGATTTCTCATTCTACACCACCTCATCACACGCTAGTGGTTCGACTAGAAAGAAGGGGCAGAACTCTTTACACGTTACTTGGTGGGAATAAAGCGTTTTTCTTTTCAATCCGTCTAGAAGATCAATCACTCTAAAAAAATCACCCAAACGTGGTCTATGGTCAGAGGTTTTGTGCGCCTCTCGCTTTTATTCTGGTAAGCATTCTGTACTCTATTTTTCGTTTTTTTAATAAATGTCCTCTTCCCCAAGGAAATTGGAAAAGCCTTTCAAATTATTTTTAGGACTCAAAATAGTCAATAAAAATGATCTGATATTAGGCTGTTTGAGAATCATTCCGTCGTTAGATTTTGTATTCACACTCTTAATTGATTGTGTCTGGAGAGGAGAAGGAAGCAATAGAGATGGCGGAGGCAGAGCAACGAAAGCAGATTCCATGGATGAGTTCAGAGCAGCGTTCAAGAGTCGAAATTGACAGGCACGATTTGATAATCACGGAACCGATGGTAACGGACAGAGTTGAGATCGAAGTCGGTGCTCCTGAGGATCAGCAAGATAATACTACTACCGATTCGAATCTAGGGATCGGAGAGCGTGCTTTCTCTGCTGCCGGTGCTGCTGTTTTATCTGCCATCATCGTTAATCCGCTCGATGTTGTCAAGGTAATGATAATCGCTGCAGGTTTTTAGTAATTACTATTTCTGTTGTTTAGTTGCTTGATTTTAATTTGATTTTTCGTTGCGTAGATTGTTTCCTTTCTGTTTAAATATTGTTTTAAAAAAATTCGCCATGTTTGTTTCTTGTAATTAATAGACAAGGTTGCAAGCTCAGGCTGCGGGGGTACATTATTCGCATCCGCTGAGTAATCTTATCGGTCGAATGACATATTTTGGACCAAACACGGTATCGATGCAATCTATTCCTTCACTTTTCATCTTTAATATCTCGAGAAACGAATTGTCACGATGTGTGTATTTTAATTTTTTTTTTGTGATGTTAGACTTATGCTAAATTTTATCATCTGTGAATGTTTTGGATTAGATGTTTGCTGATTTGAGATGTTCACCGTCATGTACTCGTGCTGGTGTCCATGGAACTGTATCAATTTGTCCTCCTGATTGTTTTCAGTACAAAGGAACATTAGATGTCTTCAACAAGATTATACGTCAGGTCTGTATTGCAATGCTGTCATCTTGTAGCCTATTGATAAGCTCTGTATTGCAATGCTGTCATCTTGTAGCCTATTGATAAGCTTATTGTAAAATTCTAAAATTGTTACTGCTTTATCTTAACAATTCAAGTTACCCGACAGTGGTTTTATTTACCCATTTGTTTGAGTTGTCTACTATTTTCGACATCCTAACAGGGTATCTTCTGCAGGAGGGGTTTGCAAGATTGTGGAGAGGGACTAATGCTGGTTTGGCTTTGGCTGTACCAACAGTCAGTTTCTTTTTCCGTTAACATTCTTTTTAGCTGTTGGAGAGTATTTTTGGATAAACATCATGTGCTGAATATTAATAGAGTTATTGACGGTTACTCATGTTTTTGTACAGGTGGGAATCTATTTACCTTGCTATGACATGTTCCGCAACTGGATGGAGGGGGTTGCAGAACAATATATGCCTGGTGCAACACCATATGCCCCTTTGGTTGCTGGTTCTTTGTCAAGGTCATTAGCTTGTGCGACATGTTACCCTATTGAACTTGCTAGAACACGCATGCAGGTAATTTTGATATTAATTTGTATACATTGTCTCTTTCATGTTAAAAGTGATTCTGTACGTATTTCCAGTATTTAATGCTACTATGTTTTTCCATTTTGATCAAAATAGGTTTATCATCTCCGCTTTAAGAATTTGGTGTCTGTTAACTCATAGATACCTATTCTATTCATTGTTTCTTCTAATTTTTGTCAGTTTTCTGCTTCAATCACAGGCATTTAAAGACACTCAAATTGGAAAGAAGCTGCCTGGAGTTTTTAATACCCTTGTAGGAGTCCTGTCTGATGTGAAGGGCAGAAACCCTCAGAGCAGTTGTAAGTTAATCTCAACTGTACCTGTTTCTGGTAATTGTTACCTTTTTTTAGCATTTTAAGTTTAGCCTATGGAGGAAATTTTTTTCCCCTTGTCTTTTTACTATCTAGCCTAAACATCAAAAAGTACATTTTCACATTCACTTTTGCTGCCATGATGCAGATGAAAATTCTTTTCCCCCACAATTCTAAGCATGATTTCTGATGTTTCCCTCGACAGTGCAAGGGTATCGCGTCTTATGGACAGGCATGGGAGCACAACTTGCTCGTGATGTTCCTTTCTCTGGAATTTGCTGGTCAACCCTTGAGCCTGTGAGTTCCCATTTCTTAGAACACCTCTAGTTGTCTATGTCCTTCGACCATGGATATTGTTTTCAGGAAATCCATTTGCATTTTTTCTTCCAACAACTGAATTTGTTGGTTATTGCACCTATTTTTTGCAGATGAGGAGAAAACTTCTGGGTTTGGTGGGGGAAGAATCCAATGTATTGACTGTTCTTGGGGCAAATTTTACTGCTGGGTTTTTTGCTGGAGGGTATGTTGACCTTATGCCATATGTATTACCCAATTAAGAGTTACTTCTGATATTTTTTCGAGTGAATTTAGTTTATACTTTGATCCCAGGAAGTACAAAATAAATGAAGTGGACTCGATGTTAACTGCTGTTTTTGTTTCTACATCATATTCTAATCTGGTCTTTGTCTTAATTTTCAGAAGGACCCTGTGAGGGCATTGCGAATGACCACTCGACAGACACTGATGGAAGTTTGGAGGTATCATATTCTAATACACTTTCTTAGGCAGCAGCATACTTGAAAATATTTGTGTTGATAGGAATGAAATCAAACTTTATTATATTAGTACCCTTGGAATCAGTTATTTCTAATCGATTGATAGGAACGAAATCAAACTTTATCATATTCTAATCAGTTATGTCTAAAATATCTAGCCCGGGTAGCATTAAGCACTAGATTTTGTGTGTTCATGGAATTTTAGTTGTTTACGTTTGTTGCTCGTTTGCGCTTTTATCCTTCTTTTTCTGTTTTTATAATTTTATTTTACTAAGAGCTGATCATGTTGATAAATTTGAGTCGAAACAAGTTTTGTTTAACTTATCAATTGTTACTTACGAACTATTTCTTGTTCTGCAACAGGGATGGGGGAATGAGGGGGCTTTTTACGGGAGTGGGTCCTCGTGTAGGCCGTGCTGGTCCCTCAGTCGGGATTGTGGTTTCGTTTTATGAAGTTGTGAAGTATGTTCTACATCACCATTATGCAACTTCATGACCTAGAAAAGCACAGCAGCATCTGCCAGTTCTTTTGATATAACAAAACAAACATTAGCCTCGTTTCGAACTGCCGCAAAGTAGGTACTTGTGAAAGTTGATGTGGACAAGGATAAAGTAGAATATGCAGAGTAATATGCAAATTTTGGTGGTGTAGGTCCCTCTCATATAGGTGTTCAAGGTTTTAACTTCTAATGTCAATCATACATACCATAGGTTGTCAGAAATAACAAGCGATTACGTCGTCGCTGTAAGTCCTCATCTAAGGTCTTCAAACTCGCAAAGGTGGCACATAAGTTTTTTTTTTGGTTCATGCAAAGCTTTGTTGTTCATGTTACTTTAGTTGATGATGCTCAAAGTTGAGCGGAATTTTTTTGATTCCTTTAGTTAATTACTTTTTGCTGAGGCGCGCTCGGTTCTACACGGTTTTAACCCCTTGAATTGGAGAACAAAGGGGCACTATTTTACTTTTGATGATAGTCATTGTATTTATTTTCTTTCTTCTTTTAATTTATTTTATGTAGTGTCTAAACTATCAAGATTTGTTGGTAAAAAAGTAATTAGCCTCTATTGGGGATTAACTCCATCAATTGGATCCTTAAGCTCTAGTTAAAAATTGAGGGCAAGTGAGATTAAAATACCTCACTGGAGGTGTTCGAAGTACACCACAAAATCATGGTGCGTTTCGGTTGAATTTATCTTGGCCTTGAAACTTCAACGCACTGAAACCGCGTTAACGTCCAAAGGAGCTTCTAAGCTTCTATCTTTTCAGTGCAACTTTCCCCTTACACTGAATACACAATGATGTTGCTGGAGGGCAGTTCCACTTGTGTCTAAAACCACTGATTTCAAGCCAATAGGCGCCCGTCATTAGCATTATGTTCCATGCCCGACATTCACAGGTTTATCAGTGCTAGACATGTTACGTTTTCGTCAGAGAAGAGATTCATATCGAGAAGAAAACATAAAAATAACCACAAAACAACATTCCCCGGCACTAGAGTACGTGAATTCTTTGAATTGATCAGTTGCAGGGACTTTAGGAATGAAGAAAATATGGATCCTTTTTGCTTTTGTAGATCTCAAACAGTTGCTTAGAATAGCGGGTTGCGAAATATCTGCACAGCTCGACTCCTTTCGGTTCATATGCTTCCAACTCCTTAACAGATTTCTTTACATCACCGATCGGGTCACCATCAGTTAGAAACTCTGCCAAAGTACAGCCCCTGTACGACAACAGAAATTCCGGCGAATACAAGTCAGCTTCTGCAAAGTGCTTCTAACTTCAGACTCCAATGACACGATGGTTGTCTGAAATTAATATAGATGATGTATGTAAACCATAAAGCTATAGCCTAGACCGTGCCGAATGCGAGAAAAAAAACCCTACAACAAATAGTCAAACAACTAAAGACAAAACGTGCTCGTCTTCCTAAATAGTTACACTGATAAAATGCAAAGCACTATGCAATAACATGGCGTCCTGAACATGCAAATAACGGTGCACTTTCAACTCGTTCTCAACAGAAAAAAGTTCATAATGACCATAAACATTTGAATTCACACCTGTAGGCATCAAATTTACTAAAACCTCTCTGATTATGACATAGAGCTGCCTTGGAAATCTTACCAAAGGCTGCAAGTAGCTCCCCCTCAAATTTCATATCTGATCTATGATCCTTGTTCCTTCTAATCTGGGAGAAAATCACATCAAAGTCCACTTCATCATTTGAAGCATCTTTCGAGTCGCTGCATGCACCTCTGCCACTAGAAACATCTTCCTGTCCACTACGAGCATCGTTACAATCAGAACCATCTTGTGATTCGTTACAACTACTATCACAATCCGTAGCGTTAGAGTCCTCGACAATGAAACCATTCAGACTATCACCTTCATCATCACTGTCTGACGCAGTCCCATCTGAGTCGTCATCTTCAACATCCGCAGCCATAGGGGTTCCTTTGATGAATTTTCTTCCACTATTGTTATTTGAAGAGCAATTTTTTTCTTTTACTTCAGATTGACTGAGTAATACTAGTCTCCGCTTTCGAATAGTGAAAGCACCTCTGCCTTTGTCAATTTCTGGGCAGAAGGAGCCACTTCCTTGCATCGCATCCTGCTGAGCTCACCAATTGGAACATTGTCATTATCGCCCTCTGAATCACTAGTGACAATATTAAAGGCTCGTTTTCTTTTGTGAACTGAGACAAACGAGACAGTATCCACATAACTACCCACTTTTTCTTCTTGGTTCCAATTACCGATGGCCCCTGTTTCATTTTCACAATCTACAGCTCCTAATTCATGCTTACTTAAAACTTTACCATCCACAGTAGGTTCATCATCACTATCATGAATATCGATTATGCCAACTGAAGCAGGTTTAACACCTGCTGGAGTGGAAGGAGCCATCTGTTTATTGGGGCCTCTTTCCTCTTGAAACGACAACGGTCTTCTAACTCGTTTACTACACTGCATCCTGTAATCTCCCTTATCAGCCTTATAGGGTGCGTCATTAGAAGGCGTCCCTGACACAAAATCGGATATAAAGAGTGTGAATCATGATGTGCTATCTATTACCACTATATAAGAAATAAATCACAATACAGAGAAAAGAATCATCATTACCAGCTGGTTGTAGATTTCCAGCGCCTTTACCAGGAGAAATCAGAGTAGGTACAGAGTCCACGAAACTCAGTGCTCCGACTATTACCGGCATGTCGTTTAAGGTGGATCCACCATTGTTTGCTTGAACTGCTCCATTTGTTTTGTTCACATCAGGGTTCTTCGTATCAAACGGCTGTTCTGCGCTTTTCAAAACCAAGCTCTTTTGCAGCTGTAATGTCAATGATTCTAATTCCCTGAACTTTCGCTTCCAAGCCTCAGCCTCGTTCTCGGCCATACTCTTCTCACATTCCAAAACCTTATTCTCCGCCATCAGCTGAAAAACCTTGTCTTCCTCGTCACTCTCCTCGGTCAGATCAACAGCTCCCTCAATCAAACTCTCCCCCCATAACCAACAACCTTTTCATCGTCATTATGCCTAATTCGATCACTAACTTCATTGTTCCGGCTCCTCAAGATCTTGATTTCATTGTCAAGTGCAAGCTTAGCGGCTTGTAATGTCCTAGCTTTAGTCTCAAGCGCTTCATACTCGCTCTTCCTCTTTCGAACCTCCAATTCGAGCTCCAGACAACTTGCTTCGGCTTTCTTGCTCCTCGCTTCTAATTCACCACATCGACATTTTCCCACCTCTCCATCATAAAGAAGCTCAGTTTTTGGAACTTTTTCCTCAGCTTCCTCCAAATTCGTCTCCATCATCAACCTCAAGCACCTAAAAAAAACGACAAATACTATTAGTAAAGCAAAATGCCAAAAAACCCTGGTTATTATATTCAAGAAATGTGTCCTCAAATAGAAAATATGGATTTTAAAGAATGTCCTTCTGCTAGGTTTCTTAGAATGCTAAACAAGGGTAACAGTATAACAAGCATATTTCAGAACAGGAAAGCCAAATTCTCCTCCTTTTAATATTTCTAAAGAAAAAAAAAATGACAAGTAATCTTGAAATTTGACTCGTCGTCGTTGTTTTCCCAGAACTCAGAAAGTTAAAACCCAAACTTACTGAAAATTTCCTTGTTCGCTTTCTTTCTTTGATATAATTTCTCGGAAACCAAACAGACAGTGAGTAAGAGCAAGTTAAAATTGAAAGCAAAGATGGAAACTTACAGTGAAAGACTTTCGCTTTTACAGTTATATATATATATATATATATGTATAACTGGAATTAAGGGAAGTGTGCTAAGAGATAAAAAGAGACAAAATAGATATGTTGGAGGATTATTTTGTAATTTTTTAAAGTTTGGTGATTAAAAGAATAAATTGTGAATAGTGGAATCGTTATCTAGAAAACCCTAATAAATACATATGTTGCCAGCGAAGCCAATGAACGACGCCGTTTTTGAAATGAGTAAAGTAAGCGGTGAGTGGCGACTATAGTTGTCCTCGCGGCATCTTTCCTGGGAAACAAACGAAAAAAACCCCAGAAAGGAATGAAAATCCGTAAGCTTATCAACAGCCAATACTTCACTCTCACTCACAGAAAACCCGCGAGAACAGTCCAATTTGAATCGAAACAATGGCTTTCTTCATACACACAGGACCCGGAGCTCAATAGTTTCATCCAGTACATCGATTCTCTCAAAAACTACGAGAAATCCGGCGTCCCGAAAGACGCCGGCACCGATTCCGATGATGGGTTCGATTTGGGTCGGATGAGACGCCTTATGAACCGACTTGGCAACCCGCAGTCCAACTTCAAGGCCTGTACTCCTACCTTTGTTTAAATTATCTTTCTGTCTTTTAAATCAATGCCGACATTATATATATATATATATATACATTTATGTATGTTTTGAAATAATTATAGAGTGTTCATATTGCTGGGACTAAAGGGAAAGGATCCACTGCAGCTTATCTATCAAACATCTTACGTTCAGAAGGTTACTCGGTTGGTTGTTATACTAGGTAAGCGGAACATAAAATGATTGCGTTTTATGTTTTCTGTTTACATATTTGGTTGTCGTTTTGGATGACTGCAATATTGTAACTTGCAATCTTTTTATGTTTAAGCAGTCCACATATGCTTAGTATTAGGGAACGTATGTCGATAGGAAGGGCTGGGGAGCCTGTGTCTTCAAACACATTGAATAGCATTTTTGGTAGGATTAAGCAAAGTCTTGATGAGGCTATTGTGTTTGAAAATGGATGTCTTAGTCACTTTGAGGTTCGTGTTAATTTACATGCGTATTAAGCATTTGTTTTTGTATCATTTAATGCCTTTTTGTTCGATAGAAGCTGCATTGTTTAGCTTGTTTTCAGGTTTTTACTGCTGTGGCGTTTGCTTTGTTTGCTCAAGAGAATGTTGACTTTGCAATCATAGAGGTTGCTTTATTTCCCAAATAAATCTTCTTTTCAGTGAGTGAGTCTACTTGTTTGTGTTAGACTTACTGTTCCTTTTTCGCATCATTGATTTAATTGTAACGAGACAGGCTGGATTAGGAGGTGCTAGGGACGCTACGAACATTATTTCTAGTTCAGAACTTTCTGTGTCTATCATAACAACAATCGGTGAGGAACATTTGTCCGCGCTTGGGGGTTCTTTGGAAAGCATTGCAATGGCAAAAGCTGGAATCATTAAAAAGGGTCGTCCAGTTAGGTGATTTTACCTGAAAAAAGTTTGTTTTATATTGGCATATGCTTTGAGCTGATTGGATTCAATCTTTAGCTTTCCATTTAGTATCTTTCTTACTCTGAACCATGATTCAAATCGAAACTTTGGTATATGATGCTTGTTTTCTTCGTACATATATGTGTGCTTTACCATACCACTTTTATATGTATTCTCTTAAGCTTTTAGACCAACAGATTGTTGCTTGATAGGTGAATTTGAAGGCTGGCCATAGATAAGTGATGATACCTTCTGCATTCATGCATCTTCTCCATTCAAATTGACACCGGTTCAAATTTTCAGTTGATTTTAGGCGGGCCTTTTCTTACTCACATCGATTGCATTCTTCGTGAGAGAGCATCTTCAATGTGTTCACCTATAATATCAGCATCTGATGGCCGAATTAGAACATCCGTAAAAGGAATCAGCATGTTTAAGGGTAGACCTTCCCAATGTTGTGACTTGGTGATAGAACTTGACCTTGACTCGCAGTTGGTATGTTCTTCAAGCATTATGCTGTTAATATTAATTCATTTTTTATTTTGAATCATTTGCTTGAACTTATTATTGTTTAATCTACACAGTCCATCGAGTTACATGATTTGAATCTCTCCATGCTTGGAACTCATCAACTTCAAAATGCAGTGACTGCAACATGCGCAGCACTTTGCCTACGCAATCAAGGTAGGTGCTTAATCTCTTTTATTCTGATTCTTTTTTTTTTTGTTGAAATTACATCTCTATTAGAAAGTTACAATATTAATCAATCATTACATCCGTAATTCACGGAATAGCTGACTGAACTGTCAAACTATCAAACCATGATACACCTGAAAAACTCAAATATAAATTCCAAACCCACGCATGGAGGAACTTGAACCCGACACCTCAAAGCTTCAAAGCCTCCTCCTTGCCACTCAGCCAAGTTCTCATTGGCAATCTTCGTTATTCCGATTGGATGATTTCTACCCAGAATCATAGAAACTCGTGGGATAAGTGGCCAATGCTTTGTTGAGTCCGGTTAAGATTTTGTTCTCTTTTATTATTTCTTATTGTTTCTTTGGATGATTTCATGCATATTTCAGGATGGATAATCTCAGATGGATCTATTAGGGCTGGCTTGGAGAATACATTTGTGCCCGGAAGAAGCCAATTTCTAGCATCCAAAGAAGCTGAGAAATTAGGATTATCGGGATCAACAGTATTACTTGATGGAGGTTCTTCCTCTCATTTTCTGTGTTCTACTTTTAGTTTTAGATGGGCCAAGAAATTACGATTAACTGCCTTTTTCTTATAATCTATCAGCTTAGTATTAATTCCAATGCATATTTTGACTGAAACTCTTCTTAATGTAAGTAGTCCTGACTGCTTACTTTTTTTTTCCTTTTAGCTCACACAAAAAGACTCTGCAAAAGCTTTATTGGAAACAATACAAATGGCATTTCCGGATTCACGATTAGCCGTTGTTGTTGCAATGGCTAGTGACAAAGACCAGTTAGCATTTGCTAAAGAGTTCCTTTCAGGTATAAACCGGCTCGTGATTGTTCTATGAGGAGTTCATTTACTCTTTTTATCATTCGTGAAACAGACTACTGGATAAAAACCAGAATGTGGAAATAACTCGAGAATGGGGTGTCATTGTACACGATAGATCTTGGATGGATTTAACTGCCATTTTTACCATACTTTCACAGGTAGACAACTCGATGCAATCTTCCTAACAGAAGTTGACATTGCTGGTGGAATATCTCGAACCACCTCTGCTTCCGTTTTAAGAGATTGTTGGATGCAAGCCTCCAGAGAATTGGGCATCAACGTTCTTCATGATAGAATGATGGAGTATAGAGAATTGTTTGAGGACAAGTTTAGTTTTTCGACAAGGGGGTCGAAACATGAAACCATATTGGCTTCGGAGAAGTCGCTGTCGGATTCCATGAGGCTTGCTAATCAAATTCTTAGAGAAAGAACAAGGAATGGATCAGGTATTCTTGTGGTGACGGGATCTCTGCATATTGTTGCAAAGGTATTAGCTTCTCTTAATATGTAATGGTGTTTTATCATATATATATACACACACATACATAGCCCCCCCTTAGCGAACAATGTTTATGACATATTAATGGTCCTCCCGACATGTTTATCTATTTATTCATCGAGATATTTTGAAAGAATCAAATCTCGCATTTCTTATGTGGGCCTTTACCCCGCCCACAACCCATCACAATGATCGATCTCACTGGTCACAGTCACTATACCAAATCCAAATTTCAAGAGTGCCTTTATTTTGTCTTCAGCCATGGCATTTAAAGTCTGGTTTTTGAGCCATCTCCATCCCATAATTTTACGTAAATCTCCATGAAAGCTCTTGAAGCTAACAAGAATCATGTCTGAAAGAGGAAGAAGACAGCTCGTAAAATAGGCTCCACTTCTTAAAACCCTTAGCAAAACCCATTTCCCGTAACTCAACCTCTGCATAGCTGCCCGCTCTCATGTTTATTCTCTCTTAAGGTGACGGTGACGGTGACAGAACAGTATTACATACCCCAGAACTTCCGACATATCGAAGTGAATTCTGATGGGGAAATAACACTGCTCACATTTGGATTGTCGATTGTTTTTTTTAACTTCTCATGTTTAATCATATTCAATCTTACGTCTTTTGTATAATGTACGATTATACAAACGATAATAAAAATCGAGTTTTTTTTTTTGTTTTTTTATTAATTTTATATAAAAACATTACAAATAAAATTACTATTACTTCTAAAATATAAATTTTATTTGATTTTTAAGGATTTTTAAGGATTTTGATACAAATCAGTATCTACTTGGTATTTTTAAAATAAATTCTAATTACTTTTTGTTAAACTGATATTCAAATTTTAAAAAAATCGAATTAATATTTTTTATTGTTTGACATCTCAACAATTAATAAGGTTCCTTAGATGGCATTAATCGGTTAAAATAATAACGTTATGATTAATTATTGAAACACTATTCAACAACAAATATTAATTTGAGTGTTCTTTTTTTCAAATTTAAGTATCAATCTAAGAACTGTTGTCGAGTTCATATATTAATTTATATGAACTTTACACAAATGAGTACATAATATGCTTATCTCAAATTGATACATCTCGGGGTCAAGCAAAAACAAAGTACGATCTTCATTTGGTATCTAATGATGTAACCTGTTCTCGCTTCAAAGAAACAGAAGTTTCATACAAGCAACACGGTTTAGAATTACGGAAAGGAGCGATGGCTATCAAATGTGAAGTTCGGATCGAATCCGTCATTCCCGAATGGGAAATCGGCCGAAGTAGAGGCGGCGGCAGCTTGGATAATCTCTGTGACTTGAGACTCAACAGTGGCGGCAACAGTAGTACCGTCGTTCATCCAGCTTTGATTTGGAGACGACATAAGTGAAAGATTTCCGACCACAGATGGTGCGGAAGAGACAACCTTGTTGTCGGCCTTTATATCAGACGCCGACGAAGGGTATGTTTGGGGATCACCAATCTCGGAGTCTTCCGTTACAACTTTGAGTCTTCTCTGGAAGCTCAACAGTAAATCACGCGGTTGTTGTTTCTGGTATATTACAAGTGTGGCTTCCGCGGTAAGTAATCTCAAAGGTAGTCGGGTCATCATCCGACCTTTGTACCAGCTTTGTCGCCAGACAACCTTGGGTATTCCGATGGGCGCACCTGTAGTACTCTCTACGAATCCAAATAGAAAGGTTCAACAAGCTCTAGGATTTCAAAAAATAAAAAAAATAGCTTAGTTCGGTTAAACACTAAATGGAGTAAGAGTTTAATCCCTGAAATTTATACATTTTATTAATATAATCTTAATTCAAAACAATTCAATAAATTTAACTCGTTATATTTAATTTTTTTTTATCAATTTAGTCTTTGTTATTCTCTTCAATTACATATTCTTCTCCTAGAAATGTTATATTATTTTTTCATATTAATAGCAATTCAATAGTAATTTATTATTTTATGGAAGGATGCAATTATCTAATTACTACTTTGATACGATGGACTTGTTTAATTTGATATTATCACAAAAAAGAATTAAATTAATGGATTTTTTTTAATAAAAGATTGAATTTATTAAATTGATTTGAATTAAGACCAAATTAATATAACACATAAGTTTCAGAGTCTAAATCTATTATTATATAATCTATTTTGATTTTAACGATAAAATATTTTTTTATAATAATATTTTAATTTAGTTATTAAAGTTTAATATTTAGAAGAAAATTGACTTATATGTAATTGAACTAATAATTGAGTGACCAGTTGTAGATTTTACCTTAAATATTAATCGTATAGTATATATAGGGCAAACCTGGGATATTTTGCTCCGAGGATATCCTTTTGTCCATATTTTCTCCAACTGAAGCCATCACCAAGAGGTCCTTCCAAGGCTGTAGCGGGCCTCACTCGGACTCGTTGCGTCCATCTCGGCAGGATGTTTCTGCAACAAAAGAAAACCATAATTAAGCAATAATATTATAATGATTGTATATTTATAATTAACCTTTTTCATGGAGCTGGCATCTAACTTGAGCTGATCATCATGTTCATTGAAAGCACGGTCGGAGTCCACGTTCTGGGAACTCCTTGTACGAGAAAGTGGTTGCGACTCGGTCGTCTCCGACATTCGGATTTCTTGTGCAGAGTGTTGTGGATCTTCTCCTGCTGTGAAAGGGGTGATTTTGTTGTTGTAGTTCAGCATTGAAAGTGCCTTCTCGTACGAAGCTTGGATCCGTTGGACTAGGAATTTGGGAGTTTCATTGGAAGAAGATGATGGAACGTTTAGATAATAGGCTTGGAGCTGCTTAGCTAGCTGTCTTCCTTGTGTTAGCTCATTTACCAGACTCTTTTGCTCACTTTCTCCTGGCTCCTCCATTTATTCTTAACAAAGAGAAAGAGACATTGAAAGAGGGAGGGTATGGGTTTGGAGTTTAAGGTATATTACACACATATATAATGCCCTCCGTTGAGGACTGGACCGGTCTTTGGTCATAGAAAATGTGGGATTCAAAGAGGAAGTCTAAGTCTACTACTGACCCTTTCTCCCTCACATTTGAAACTTTCAACCTTTTTTGAACGCAAAATCATCCATCCGTCCACTGGCACTGCCCCCGTTTTTACTCTTCTTTGAGTTTAACGTCATGCTGATACTGAATGTAGTAGTTAAAGCAAATCAGAGAGAACGTCAAACCAAAGTGTTTGAGTGTATGTTGGAATTCTGAAGATTTCGTGACTCGTGATTTTCAAATCCGAGTCTTTGGAGTATCGTGAACGTTTGTGGTTTTAGACGGCACAACGATGGGTCTTAGACGGTGGTTGACCCACTGACCTGGTCGCTGCCCAGGTCTTCATTTACCAAAGTTTTCATTTTTTTCCTTTTCTTTCTTACGTCTGTTAAAATTCGGCCTGAACGATGAGCATGCCGGCACTAAGAAGTAGAATGCCAATGGAGAGGAGTCCAACATGTGGGCTAAAATTGGAATAAACATCAAATATATTTTATTAATTTAAATTAAATATTATAAAATTTAGTTATATTCATTATTAAGATAATTTCAAAATACATACTTCTCTAACTTATCGGAATAAATTTGATGTTCTTTAATATTACAAAAAAAAACATCTATAAGTGAATTTACATCGAAAGTTTAAATATTTTTCCTATATACAGTAGCAAGCAAACAAAAAGTGGAGACGAACAACAAATTTACAAGGCTGAGCATAAAGTTGAATATAGAAGATGTAATATGAAGCATTCTTTTTTAAATATTTGTGGCTATAGGCCATGCCACAAATATCTAAATTAATAAGAATTTAATAAATATTTACATAAAAAATACGATAAGAATCAAACAATAATTAGTGTGTCAATTTAGTTCCTAATTTTAATTTTTTATAACCACTTATATATATGATTCATTAATCGATTGATCCGAATTAAGGATTGTAGAGACGAAAATAATCTTTCTAACCCAATTTACTCTATTCACAAACATTATAATTTAAACTTTTAATTTTATTTAGGGATCTAATGTCTCGTCTAAATAGTCATATTAATTGTTAATTTGATTTATATAAACATAAATATTTATGGCTATAGGCCATGCCACGTATGGACAACCCTAGTGTCTCAAACAACCACAAGTACTGGGTCCCGCACACTGAAAACGAAATATTTCTTCCAATAAAATCCAACCACGTGTATCGACCGTCATCCATGAAATCTCTTGAAATATCTACGCTTCCACTCTTTTCTCGCCACGCCGTTTTCTAGCTTACCGCTTCCTCAGTGACCACGTCATCACTCCCCTGCCTATTTCTTTCTTATTTAATCTTACTTGTCACTTGCGATAGCCGTCGGATTCCAAAACTGCCTCCATCTGGCCGTTGATTTTCCACTTTGATATTATTTGTGGACATCATAATTTACGTATTTAAACGATTCTTTAAAAACTCGAGAATCTTTCATCGTTGAGAATTCTCTGCAGCTAATTGGAAACTAGGAAACAAAGCGCCATTTTCTCAAATTCCCAGCGATCCGATTCGACTCAATAACTCGCTTCTGCTCTGCTTGAACAGGTATGTTTCTCCTTGCAGGGAACTGGTTAACGTTTATAATTGCTTATGAATGATGTCAAATCAGTTCCTATTAGAAATGTATCAGAGATCTGAGAGTTTTGCTATATGTCTACTTCATTTTGATCTGTTCATGATTTTTTCTATGTTTTAATGTTTGTTAAAATCTTGAATTACAGCAGAAAATTATCGTTTGGTAACAAAGAAAGAAAATGATTTCTTTTATTCACCTTTTTGCTTACATTTCAAGGATGCATACTCTGTGTCTATAGACTGAATCTAATAACTGTTGCTAACCACTCTTGATTGAAACTAACCAAACAAACTTTGAATCTTTAGCTGGTGACTTACTTATTCACCTAAAAATGTTGATTTGAAGTAGCCTATGTCAAAGTAGTTTCAAGTTTTGGTGATCAATCTAGATAAATACTATTATATACAATGCTATTGACCAGTTTAATGAAAGCTATTATGTTTGATCAAACGCTTGATATAGCTTCTGTGCACAAACACAAATGTTTTTGTGTCAAAAAACTAGTTTTAGTTATGTGATATCGATGAATCTGTGTTTGTTCTTGCAAGAAAAGTAACAGCCAGTTAATCTTAAGTATTGTACCTGATTCATATGCTTGGTTGCAGTTTTTGCTTAAATTTTGTAAAGAGTATTCGCCATGGGAGTTGTTAGCATTTCTAGTTCAGCTGCCCGAACTCCACTAGGACTAAGCACAAAGTTCTGTACTCAAAGATGTACATTGAGAATGCCTTATATTTTAGCATTTAAAGCAGATAAATCCAATAATACAACTCTAGTTACGCCTCAAGAACTTAATCTTTCGCCGGTGGAAACCACTAAGGGGCACCCGAAGCGACGTGGGAAAGCTAAAAAGGCTTCAAAAACAGCAAACCGCGTCTTGGATGATGAAGGTTCTCCGTGCACTATGGATGTAGATTACAATGAAGCTGCTGCAAAACTCGAAAACCTTTATAAGCTTAGCCCTTCAACTCGAACATTTGATGAAGTAGGGGAAAAAAGTGAGACAAAAGGACGTCATCCGAGGAGAAAGAAATCTAAAGAAAGTGATGGGAAATTAGATGATGCTAATGATAAGATTGTCATTAGGAACAGGACTAAGAAGACTAGAAGATTGAATCTTGATAAAAGGGTTGAACTGAAAAGGAACAGAGAAGAAAAGCCAGTTGTTTCTGGTCAGAGGAAAAAGGGTATTATGAACGAAAGTGAGAAGATCGATAGGCTTGTCCGGGACTATTCAGCTTCAACCGATTTGGTCAGCTTGGACTGGAAAAAGATGAAGATACCTCCTGTTCTACCGTCCACTGAACATACATGGTTGTTTAAGCTAATGCAACCAATGAAGGTTTGCACCTTTTAATTAAAAGGAGACTGCTGCAAGCCTTTGTTTTCTATATTTCTTAGTTTTTGAAACTTTGATTGTGGTTGCCACTAAAATATTTTTATCAAACTGCAGGCATTGCTTGAGGCGAAAGAGAACTTGCAAAAGGAATTGGGTAGAGATCCTACTGAAGATGAATTAGCTGAGGCAACAAATATGAGTGCAGCTCAAGTGAGTAGACATTTAGAGGTCGGTCGAGCTGCTAGAAATAAGCTCATTAAGGTAACTCCTCTTCCACCACAAGCAACAGTAGGGATATTTTCACTTTCAGTTGGATTCTTTTATCAACACTTTGAGTTGGATTAGTATACATATATTTTTTAGTCTTTTTATATATGCAACTGGTGTTGATGTACCACTAGCCTAGTCTTTTGATATCGCCTTTTTAAAAGTGGTTCCCTAGTTTGTGGATAAACCTTATTGTGAGCATTTTGCCATTGGCTTTCAATAATAACTGCTGAGAGGTATTTCTTTATTTCATGCAGCATAATCTCCGGCTTGTTTTGTTTGTGATAAACAAATATTTTCAAGATTTTGCAAATGGTCCAAGATTTCAAGACCTTTGTCAGGCAGGAGTCAAAGGACTTATTACAGGCATTGATCGCTTTGAACCAAGAAGGAAATTCCGGCTTTCGACTTATGGTCTTTTTTGGATTAGGCATGCAATTATACGTTCTATGACAGTATCAAACTTCACCCGTGTCCCGTTTGGACTTGAATCTGTATGCTCCCCTCACTTATGCGTGCTATATTTTACTGCTTATATAGAAAAATACCTTGATGATTTACATGAAACAAGTAGCAACATTGAGACATTTTGGCAGGGCCAACTATTTACCTGTCTTTTCATTGCAGGTTAGAGTAGAAATCCAAAGAACCAGACTGAAATTATTGTTTGAACTTCAAAGAGAACCAACAGACGATGAAGTAATTGAAAAGGTTGGGATCTCTCCTGAGAGGTACCAAGAAGTAATGAGGGCCTCAAAATCCGTTGGGTCTCTTCATTCGAGGCATTCGGTCACGCAAGAAGAGTTCATTAGTGGAATCACCGATGTTGATGGTGTTGGCGGTGATCACCGGAAGCAACCTGCTCTTCTCAGGCTTGCGCTTGATGATGTGGTAAGACTACACCCTCTTTTTAACTTACATTTTTGTCTGAAATCAATGGCTCACGGTAGGCAACAACTAAAGCCCCTGTTTTTTTTTCAGCTTGATTCTCTGAAGCCGAAAGAGAGCCTGGTGATGAGGCAGAGATACGGGCTAGATGGTAAAGGTGATAGAACATTAGGAGAAATTGCTGGGAACTTAAATATTTCGAGAGAAATGGTCCGAAAGCACGAAGTAAAGGCGCTGATGAAGCTCAAGCATCCAGCCCGAATGGACTATCTTCGCCGGTATGTAGTCTGAATTGTATCGACATTCTCGGCGGTCGTCTTTATAACTCCCCCTATATGCTTATATTGGCCCATGACAGTCGTGTCTGTATACTAATGATGTTGTATCATAGTCACTTTAACTACATCAAACATAGAATTCTTATACGTGTAATATAAAATTCAAATACTCAAAGATTGTAAATCACCAATTATACATCACATGTAATAGTTTTCTTCAGTCATGATAGTCTGATTATACGTCTCTACTGAGAGATAAGGCACCAAGGAACCAGAACAAGCATTGTGAACACCGTATCTCTACTGAGAGATAAAGAACGAGTTTAGAGAAATTTAGGAGGCGATGAGAATATCGTTTGATTTTTATTATATTATTAATTTGATATTTTAGATAATTTGTAGTGATTAAAATTTTTATATAAATCAAAATATTAGATACTAAGCATAAATTTATCCGTCATTAAACTAGAATAATTAAGTTATTTTAGAATAAATATATATTTTTTTAACAATTCCTATCTAGGATGAAGGGGAAGGATAGTTTTTACTCTTAATGTGTATAGAAACGGCAACTTAGGAGAATGGAGAGGTGTCGATTGACCTATCAACCACACCATGCTCTATAGATTGTTGACAATTATTTAGAATATGTTTCTTTAAAGAGCAATTGTTTAGGCAAATACGAACTTTATATTAAAACTAATTAGATGTGTATGTAATGGACATGAGTCGGGTCAGATTTTGATCAATCTTAATCCAGCCTCAGTATCTTATATCTCACCTTTCACTCGACCCAACCTGAATATAATGACTTTCTATAGCATCCAAAATATGACTTAATTTTTAGAATGAAAGCCCGCATATGATTGAAACAAATATATATTTTTCTTTTTTATTAGATAAAATAATAATTTAATTAAAAAATATAAGAAGCTTTATTATAATTATTCTTAAATATATAAGAGATAATAATATTATCTAACATCAACTCACGTCAAAAAAATTCACTTAAACGGCCTAACCCTTAAAAAATCCAAACCAAATCCCTTTTTTAGAAAGAAAAAAGTTATAAGATGGTTTCGGATCAAGAAATGACCATCCAGCTAAGTTGGTAGAGCACAAGGCTTTTAACTTTGAGGTCGTGGGATCGAGTCACACGGAGGACATTTCATAATTTGGAGGTCTGCTCTCAACCTGGCGTTGGGGGTGACCTACTATCTTACCTCCCCCTTACCCCATTACATGTAGGAATAAGGGCCAACTAAATTTTTTGGACCAAATTCTTCCTAATCATCCCTTAGGGGGTGTTTAGTTCATGGTATCTCACATTACCGAGGGAATGAAATGTCATTACCTCGTTTGGTTGGCAAACATTCCCAGCCCCGGTAATAAGTTATTCCCAACAGTGGTATTTTGAGGATATATTATCGGGAATGTGATTACCCCTTCCCTTAGGTATTGTTACATTCCCGGTGTTTTGGACTAAAATACATTTAATTTTTTTTCTTCAAAAATATCATTCTTCTGTCGTTGAATAAAAAAATTCTACGAAGGTTAAATTATAAATTTATCCTTAAACTATTTTAGATTTACAAAAAAGTCCATAATTAGAATTTTATATGAAGTTCAGGGGTTAAAATAAAATTTTTACCCTTTCATTAAACCTATTTATCTTTTCAATTTTGTAAAAAAAATTATATAAATTTTATGAATTTAAAATTTTTAAAGAAAATGTATAAATTAATTATAGTAGTATTATAGTAGAATTCAACTTGTTAAAAAACAAATATATAATAAGGATAATTTGGTAAAATATGCATTTCAATAATCTTTTATTCCTTTAACCAAATATTATAATCTTACATTCCTGCTAAACGAACCAAACACAAAATACAACATTTCCAATAATCTTATTCCCGCCGGTAATCCTATTCTCGCCGGTAATCTTACATTCCGTGAACCAAACGCACCATTAGTGAGTGTATTAAAATTATTAAAGTATTGTTTTATTATAAGTGCTAATGAAATTGGATTAGGTGTATATAGATTATTCAAATCTGATTGGAATTTGAAATTTTGTTTAATCCAACATTTTTTAATATAAAACTGTTAATAATTCAAAGTAAAAATTCATTTAAATTTTAAAAATAACGAAAAACTATCTGTTTATCTCATTTGAGAGCACTCAACCATCCCTTTTTAGCAATAGTTCGGTTCATTTTGGACAGCATATCATATCTTATCCTAATTTCCACACCTAACCCCAATTATATTGTCGTATGCTCCTAAATTTACCAATATATTATATACATGTATTTGTATATATATATATATATATTAAAATAATATTTAATTTTAAAAGTTTTTAATAAATTACTTCATTAGAATTATTTTTTTCCTGAACAAGTAATTTTTAATAAATTTAAAAAATGTAAAGAAAAAGATGTCTAAAGAGTATATTTAAAAATTGATGAGTATAAATTTACGTGAAGGCACCGTACTATCTCTTTGACGAAAAAACAAACCAGAGTTGACATTAGGGATGGTAATTAGTAAAAATAATAATTTAGAAATTTAAAATTGACAAATATAGTTGATGGGTGATTTTAGAATTATGCCTAAAATTAATTGATTCAGTTATCAAATCAAAGTGATTATGACTGTAAGAAGCTTCAAGCAGCAGAACAATGGCCAACACAACAAAGCATCAGAAACCCCATGATGAATCAGAGAAGCAACAAAGAATAAAGAATGGAAGACAACCAAACACCAGGAAGAAGATGATGATATTACCATCAAACAAATTGACTGTGGCTTATACCTCACTCAAATTATGCCTTTTTTATTCTATCATCTCTCATGGATTCCGTCCACAGGTAGAAGAAGATCAGATGCTCTCGAATGTCGGATACTAATTATCTTTATTCGATTTAAATTTTAAACGTTATGAATAGTTTAAATATTGTAATTTCTATAAAAAAAATATTTTCAGGATTTTTTTGAAAAAAATGAAGATAGTTATTAAGGGTAAGTATGTGGAAAATATCAAATTTAATTAATCAGAATTTCAATTTATTTAATTTATTTAATGACGATAGTTATGATTGAATATTTTTTTAAAAATATATATATATGAAATGACTCCAAACTTTTCTTATTTTTTTTGTTAAAAAGTTTTAATTTTAAATTATTTTTTATTTCTAAATGATGTAACATCTTCTTCTGAATCTTGGTGGTGAAGAGGTGGATAAAGAGGGAGCGAGTTGTATATCTTGATCCCACGTTGATCGGATGAAGAATATTATAGATCAGAGTGATTTAGCGTTTATGAGTTTTGGATTCAAGGTTGAGGTTTAAAGTGATTTAGGTAAAATATAAACTGATAGACCGAAGAAAATGGGACGAGTTTGTCGTTATCTTAAGTGATTGAAGAAGACGTTGAATAATGATAATTACAACGTCAACATGACACATGGATAAAATTATAAAACTTTCATCATTAGAAAAAAGAGATAAAATAAGAAAAAAAAGAGAAACGACATAAATTTCATTTCAATAAAAAAAAAAAACATTCAACATCGGTACACATGACTACTATATCACAATCATATTTATGATTTAATATCTAAACGACCAAAATAAGAACAAATCTAAAATTCATTGAATAAATTAAAAGAAAATAAACTCAAAAAGGGAATTTATAGTCTACCACATAATTAACGATAGTTAACAATTTCTTAACCCGAATTAAAAGTCCGAACCGAATAATTATCCAAAAAATTGTTCATGTCGGCTCAAATCAATCATATAATCATATTTCAGAAAATCAAAACCAGTTAAGTAATATTTCGATTTTAGACAACTTAGCCTAATTAATGTAAGCAAAAGAATCTCTTTATTTTGATTGAAACAACATGTCGAAAGACTCGAGTGATGATCGTCGATGGGTCTTTAATGGCTACCAACAAAAAAACAATCCCGAGAACAATTGGTTTTGGCCCTAAATTGATCGTCAATATCACCATACAATGTTCCCATTCTCATAACAGTTGGTTGACTAAATAATTTGAGAAATTTGAAAATAATAATTTTTTTGAATTAATCATTGGTATCCGATCTATTAACCGATTAATCTAGATCGGGTATTACAGAGGAAAGTGCGACCCTCTCAACCCAGCTTGCTCTATTCACAGATGTCATGATTTGAACCCCTAACCTTACTTAAGTGATATATTGTCTCATCCCACTAGATCAACGAGTTACTGGTTAAAAATAATAATTAATATGGCCTAAGAGATCAATTACACATTTCAATAAACTATGTTTATTAATTGTTCAACTTTTTTTACCATTACATTTAAAATAACCATTTTAAGAAACATCAAGTGGTTAGGGAATATTATTTTTCCAGATCAATTCAAAAAAAAAATGTAACTATAATTTAATATTTACCTAATGTGAATTGTTAAATGACTTTTATATCATATGTCACGTCATAATATTTTCATGTGATAGTTCTAAACTTAATCGATATTATTTAAAAATTCAATAACTTTGAGAATACTTAACTCTATTTTTTTAAAGACTTTATATAAATTCAGGTCTATATATTAAAATAATTTAATATATTTTAATTTATGCATATAAAAGTCACGTGCATTACATGTTGGTGCACATGGCACCGAAAGGTGTTGAAGAAAAAAAAAATAAGTCAAGAATTGTAGGCACCGAATGGTAGGTGCAAAATTTGTTGATTTTTCAATAATGGTAGAACCTCAATTTTTGCCATTGTAAGTTAGAGTATTTACAAATTAGTCCTTAAGCTTGAACTATAAATACCCTAACTCATTTAGCTTCAAAACCATCCCAAAACATTCTAGTTTTCTTCCAATACTAGAGAATTTAAAGAGTTTTCTTGAGAGTTGTTTTCTCCTTTTTATCTAGAGAGAATTATCATTGTTTTCTCCTTGGTAGATCGAGAGAGGTTGTAATTCTTATTTTCTCATAGTGAAATTCTTCTACCGTTGCCTGTGGTTTTTACCCTATATTATTTAGGGGTTTTCCACGTAAATTTTGTGTCTCTTTTATCTTCAATTTTTATTTTCTCAAATTATCAGTTGCGATTTTGCTCTATCCGATAGCCGTCTTCCGCAACAATTGGTATCTCCCACTTGAAGATTTGATTGGAACAATCATATCTTCACATCATTCTTTCTACCTTGTACCATCATGTTGCTTACGTTTCTGACATACCACACGAGGATCGACACCAAGTAAATTTATCAGCATTGATCGTCTTTGTCATGAAATCTGCTATGTTGTCTTTGGTATGGATCTTCTGCATATCTACCGTCCCTTCTTCCACCTTTTCACGAATGAAATGGTATTGAACTCGTATGTGCTTTGTCTTTTAATGAAATATTGGATTCCTTGCTAAATGCAAGGCACTTTGACTGTCACAAAACAAAGAGACATACTCTTGATTGTGCCCAAGCTCCTCCAATAGCATCTTCAACCAAATTGCTATATTCTGATTCTGTTGCGGATGTAGCCACAATTTACTGTAATTTTGAAACCCAGCTTACAGCTCCACCAACAACTTTGAACACATATCCTGTAGTAGATTTGCTTTGATCCAAATCCCCTGCATAGTCAGAATCGACATACCCATTGATAAGTAAAATTGATCCTCCGTAATATAATGCAACATTTGAGGTCCCTTTGATGTATCTCAGGATCCTCTTTACTGTATTCCAATGCTCTTTGCCTGGATTCACCATGTACCGACTAACCACTCCCACTGCTTGTGCAATGTCTGGTATTGTGCATATCATAGCGAACATTAAACTTCCCACTACTGATGCATACGATACTCGAGACATCTCCATCCTCTCTTCTTCACTGCTAGGACTCATAATGGATGATAATTTAAAGTTAATACGAAGAGGGGTTGAAATTGGCTTACAATCTTGCATGTTGAATCGTGACAAGATCTTCTTCAAGTAATTCTTTTGTGAAAGCCAAATCTTCTCATTACTTCTATCTCGGTGAATTTGCATCTCTAGAATCTTGTTTGCTGATCCCAAGTTATGCATTTCAAATTCCCTAGCCAGTTGTGCCTTCAATTCTTCAATATGATCTTTGTTGGGTCCTACAACCAATATGTCATCCACATACAACAGCAATATAACAAAATCGTTATCACCATACCTCTTGAAATAAGCACAAGGGCCTGCATTAAGTCTGTTGTACCCAAGGCACATAATGAAGGAATCAAATCTCTTATACCGTACAGAGATTTGTTCAACCAGCAAACCAAGTTCTTCTTTTCTTTTTCTTCAAAACCTTCAGGCTGGAGCATATAAATCTCTTCTTCAAGATTTCCATGAAGAAAAGCTATTTTAACATCTAGCTGCTCTAGATGTAAGTTGAATGTAGCACACATTGTCAAGACTACTCGAACTGTTGTTAGTCGAACCACAGGAGAAAAGATTTCATTGAAATTAATACCTTCTTTTTGAGCATATCCTTTGACCACCAGTCTTGCACGATACCTCTCAACTTGATCATCACCATTTCGCTTGGTTTTAAAGACCCATTTGTTACCGATTGGCTTCCTTCCTTGTGGTAGTGTTACAAGGTCCCATGTATTATTTTTATGAAGGGCTTCAATTTTCTCTTGCATCGCCATCATCCATAGTGAAGCATCTGAGCTGTTTATTGCCTCCTAGTATGTTGATGGCTCACCGTCCTCTGTTAAAAGGCAGTATGCAATATTACCTTCTATAACATAATCTGAGTGCCAATTGGGACGTCTTCTCACACGATATGATTGACGAGTTGTTGGAGCTTCAGAACTCTCTGGTTCTTGCTCATCATGTGGCTGGTTCTGCTTCTGAAGAATCTCCTTGTTCAACCTCCTTTTCCACATGCATCTGTGTAGTCTCTAACTTTTCAGTACTATCATCGTATTTATTTCCTTTTAGTTTATATTATACAAAGATAACATCCCTGTTGATGACCACTTTGCGGATAGTGGGATCCCACAAGCGATACCCCTTTACTCCATCAGCATACCCCAAGAATTTGCATTTCCTGAATTTTGGATCCAGCTTTGAAATTTCTTGGGGAGTTGTACATCACGTACACAATACTTCCAAATACATGGAGGTTTGAATAATCAACTGGTTTACCAGTCCACATCTCCATTGGTGTCTTCAGCTCTATTGCAGTTGATGGAGCTCGATTCACCAAATAACAGGCGGCATTGATTGCTTCTTCCCAGAATGTTTTTTCTAGGCATGCATATCTAAACATTGCTCTTGTTCTTTCTAACAAGGTTCAGTTCATCCGCTCTGCCACTCCATTTTGTTGAGGAGTGTTTGTTACTGTGAATTGTCTTTTGATGACTTCTTTCCTACAAAAGTCATCGAATTCTTCGCTTGTGTATTCTCCTCCATTATCTGTTCTGAAACACTTGATCTTGTTTCCAAAATCAAGTTCCATCCGCACTTTGAAGTTTCTGAAAGTTGAAAACACATTTGACTTCTTCTTAATAGGGTACACCCAACATCTTCTGGAGTAGTCATCAATAAATGAGACAAAGTATTTTGCTCCGCCTAGGGATATAACTGGTGCTTGCCATACGTCAGAGTGAACCAATTCTAGAACAATTTTACCTCTAGAATTTGATGTGTTGAATTTCAACCGATGTTGTTTACTTGTTATGCAATGCTCACACAAAGGAAGTGATACATTTGTTAAGCCTGGAAGTAACTTTTGCTCCACAAGGACTTTCATTCCTTGTTCTGACATGTGTCCAAGTTTTCTGATGCCATAACATTGCAGAATCTGAACTACATGAGGCAACAGAGGCTTCTGCTTCTAGCAAAGTTTATCCCTTCAGCATGTACAAGTTTGATGCTATCTTATCTTTAAGCCTTTCAACACCACAAGCGCTCCATAGAACACCTTCATGATTCCTTTCCATGTTTCAATCTTACTTGCATTATTATCCAACAATCCATATGATAATAAATTTTTCTTCAGGCCTTTCACGTGCCGCACATCTCGAACAACTTTAATTATTTTGTCATACAACTTCAATTTGATGGTTCCCACGCCAACGATCTCTAAGGCATGATCATTGCAACTATACACAGATCCTCCTGAGACAGGTTCATAATGATGGAACCATTCTCTTCTTGAGGTCATGTGATATGTTGCTCCCGAATCAATGAACCATATATCTGTAAATCGTTTTCTTCCTTCCACGGTGGTTGACGCTTCACAGCATAAAGCATCTCCATCATCTGAAGTGTTTGCAGTATTGCCTTGTGGATTGGAGTTTTTATTTAGACTCTAACAATCCTTCTTCAAGTGACCCTTATTTCCACAGTTGTAGCACTTTAAATTCTTCTTGCTTCTCGACTTCGATCTACAATGTTTGTGAATGCTATTTTGTCCACGTTCTATTGATCTCCCTCTCATCGTTGTCAACGCTTCTGCTTGTTGCATATTTACTTGTATGTCTTCCTTGTTATTGCACCGATTTTCTTCTTGTAGAACAGCAGCTGCAACGTCATCGAAGACTAGACTGGTGACATTATTGTTTGTCAAGTTGATGATAAGTTGATCATACGAATCCGGTAGACTTTGAAGTAGAAGTTCAACACATTATTATTGTTCTATTATTTTACAGCTTAAGGATGTAAGCTGAGAAAATAAAGTGTTCAACGTATTTAAGTGCTATGTCACTTAAGTAGATTCTGGCATACGGAGAGTGTACAATTTCCTCTTAAGGAAAATTTTATTGTGCAACGATGTGGCCTCGTACAATTTGGTGAGATGATCCCATATCTCCTTAGCTGTCTCCTCCTCCTCGGTGCTTGACAATACTTCATCTGCTAATGCTAGATGAAAGTTTGTCATAGTATTCCCGTCCATTTCGATCCATTTATTGTCGTCTGTGAAATATACCGGCCTTTCACTGATAGCTGCTAGACATCCGTCTTTCCTCATGATGGCCTTCATCTTCAATTTCCACAATGAGAAGTTTCACCCATTAAATTTTTCAATATCAAATTTCGTTGTCATAGCTTCTAGATAGCTCACACTATTTCACTATCGTAAATAGTTCTCTGGAACCTTCAAAGATTGGGTAATACCTTCTTACTTTCTTATGTTGGAGGATCCACTTTTTGGTGGCAACCACAAAGACAATAAGCAGATATTACACACTCAAATCTGGCTCGGATACCAATTGTTGTAGAAGACGGCTATCGGATAGAGCAAAATCGTAACTTTACATTATAAGCAAGTTAGTATAATTATATTATTAAATTTAATAATCAAATTATCAAGATATAAATTACATGAAACATTGATGAAACTCCATAAACTCAATCAATTTTACAGTGTAAGTTGATATCTGGTGCATTGCTATTTATATATATATATATATATATATATATATATATATATATATATATATATATAAGTTTAGATTGGAGTTTTTGAAGATAACATTAAATCGAGTTAGAGTTTATGATAAAAATATTTAATTTGATTTGAGAATAATAATATAATCAATCTTTATATCTATAAGGATAATTATTATTATAATAGTCATCTCTCTAATTTTTTCAGTTAAAAATTTTCTCTAAATCAAAATTGAATCAGATAACAGATAAAATGATATAATACTCTAATCGAATTTGAATCAACTAAAAATCTAATTTGACCCGGGCCATATCAATCCCTAAGTGGGTAATGGAAGTGGTAGCTAGAGAGAGACTCCACTAACAACATAGCCAGAAACAACAAATATATAGTTCACTTTCCATTTTGCATTTGACCTAATTATTAAACCTAACAGAATAATTAGTGCAAAATTTTATTTTATTTAATTTTTTATCATTAAAACAGTTAGTGACAAAAGCTCCATATCAGAGCAAACAATATTGGCATCCACACACAAGTTCATGTCAAGACATAGACAGCACATCCTATGCTACAGTACTCTCAATTGTTAAGAAAAAGAAAACATTATTCTTATTCTTTTGTCTTCTTGATTTTTCTTTGAATATAAAATATCCAATATCTCACTGGTATTTATATTCCTTGAAGGTCCTTAAACAGTCCTCAGGACCATAAACAAGTCATGGGTGATAAGCTACGGCTGGCAGTTGGGATCATGGGTATTTTCCGTGCTAGCTCTTTGCTTTCCTTCTTGCTTTATGTTTTCTGATAAACAAAATGGATCGAGAGGAACGACAGGCTGTCGTTATTCTAAAAATTTCAAACTCTGTATATTTTAGATATTTTTGTAATTTTTATTAATTTTATATTTTCGTCTTTTAAAATTTTATAAAATCACATCTTCTAACATAAAACCCTACTTACGTGGATCTTCTATTGCAGGCAATGCATCTTCTTTGTTGCTGTATGCTGCTCCAATGTAATGTCGACATTCTATTCACTTCTTAGCTTATATAAATATGTCGAGTCGAAAGAAATTTATGAAGTGTAATCGATAGAATTTGCATGCAGCTTGACATTTTCGAGGGTGATAAGGAAAAAAAGCATAGAGGAATTCTCATGCATTCCGTACATCGTTGCACTCTCGAATTGTCTCCTTTACACTTGGTATGGACTGCCTGTTGTGAGCTATAAGTGGGAAAATTTTCCTGTCATCACCATCAACGGTTTAGGGATCATATTAGAGTTATCTTTCATCTTCATATATCTTTGGTTCGCTCCAACCAGAGGAAAGGCAAGCAATTTCTTAAAACCATGTTTGCTTCTTTTTTTTTACGTTTCCATCATCGTGCGATTAGTTCTTTTAACTTCGTTTTGCATGATGAAAAATTTTGCAGATTAAGGCCGGCGGTATAACGACGATCGTCATAGTAATATTTTCCGTCACGGCTCTCATCTCGACCTTTTTGTTCCACGACCATCATCATCGGAAAGTTCTTGTCGGAACTATCGGGCTGGTTGCATCGGTGGCAATGTATGCTGCTCCGCTTGTGGTTGTGGTAAGCCATAATATTAAATTACGGTCATGTAACGACTTTATCGTAACGTTTTTTAAATTCACTACAACATCTATTTTTAATAAATAAATCACACTATGCTCTCCGTAACGTCGGTAACTGCGATACAACAGGAAGGTGATTTGCATTTTTTTTTTATCTGGGTCGTCGTGATCGGATTTTACGTTGATTTGCATGCAGAAACGGGTGATCGTGACGAAGAGTGTGGAGTTTATGCCGTTTTATTTATCTTTTTTCTCGTTCATGGCTAGTGTGCTTTGGCTGGCTTACGGACTATTGAGTCACGATCTGCTACTAGCGTCGCCGAATCTGGTTGGTTTACCTTTAGGCCTTCTGCAACTTGGACTTTACTGCAAGTACAGGAAAAGAGAGATTATAGAAGAAGAACCCTGCAAATGGGATTTAGAACAGAACAATAACCAGGAGAAACCCAAACACATGCAGCTCGTGACGAACGAAAATATCAATGGAAAGTGTTGAAATTATACTGGTTTAATGCTTGGGGTATGACCAGAAATAAAATATATTCCTCTCCCTTGTCCCACGGTACAACATGTAATAAATATTAATCTATTCTTATTACATACCAGTATTATTTTAAATTTATTATTATTAATTATGATGATATTGTCACGTTCGACGAGTATGGATGAACACGATTAATGATGAATACCATTAAATTAATTTATAAAATATTAAATTTTAAAGTACTAAATGTATAATTATAATTTAGTTAAAAATATAAATGTAATTTAATTAAAATATAATATTCATAAAACATTAGTTTTTAGGGTAAACTATATTATTGACCACCTAATTATTTGCCCCTTTTATATTAACCATCGATTTTACAATTTTGTCAATCGGGTCACCAACTATTTAAATCTTATCAATCAAGCCACCAACCGTTAAATATTAACGAAGGAGACAATGTGACAATTAATAAAATTTGTATAATTATACATTTAGTCCTCATTACTTACACATTCTAATAATTTGGTCATAGCTTTTATTTAATTAAATAAATTTAATCTTCAATTCGAGGTGACATGTGTCACTGTGTCATTGGAATTTTTTAATAAGTTTTATTTAATAAATTTTTCATCCAATCAAGTGGTGTCACATGTAACCAATTGAATGAATGAAAAATAAATTAGATCAATAACTGCTTTTGGTGGGGTTTGAACTTAGGGCGCAAGCCAAAAAACTAAACACCCTAATCACTAAGCTAAACCACTAAATTTGTCTAATATATAGAACATAATCTATATAATTTATAATATAGTTAATGGTAATAAATGACCTTATAAGGAATCAAACATGAAATAATTAAATAGTATGAAAATATAAAATATATATCAACAAATATTATAATTATTAATAAATGAATATGTTTTATTTATATTTTAAATCACATTTAATGAAAATTTAAAATAAAAGTGAATTTAATATGTTGTAATTGAAATGTATCATTTTACATATTTTAAATTAATAAATTGTCTTCATTATTCTAATTTTATTGAACTGAAATATATCATATCTTATATTTTAAAATATTATAACATCAACAAAATTTTAATCTTATTTAAAAACTCTATATTAAAATAGACTAATTCAATAAAATCAAGTTTCCACTAAAATTTTATTCAAATATGTAATGAAATATAAAATTCTTACTCTAACCGGGATATAAACAAGTCAATGCATAAGTTAAAATACTTCCTACGATAAGCCTTCAACTATCAGGGAAATTCTAAGTCAAAAACTCTTCGTTATATTCCAATTATAATATTTTTTTTTTATTTTTTCATTAGAATGATTTAAAATATAAATAAAATACATTCAAATATTAATCAATTATAATATTTTTGTGTGTATATGTATCATATTATTGTATTATTCAATTATTCCATGTCGGAGTTCTTATTAGGTCATTTTCCTTTTTTATTGCAATTAACTATATATATTATATTGTGATAGGATTGTCATTTGAATGGTGCATGTTAGTGGTTGGGGCATTTGATTCTTCTCCTCGAGTCTTGGTTCAAACCCTACCAACAATGGTTATTGTTTCAATTTATTTTCTATTCATTCAATTGGTGACACGTGACACCATTTGATTGGATGAAAATTTTATTAAATTAAATAATAATATTAAGAAAAAAATCCAATCACATAGTGACACATGTCACCATCTGATTGAGGATTAAATTTATTGAATTAATTAAAAGTTAAGACCAAATTAATAGAATGTGTAAGTAATGAGGACTAAATGTGTAATATACAAATTTTATTAACTGTCACATCATCTCCTCCGTTAATATTTAACAACATGTGGCTTGATTGACAATATTTAAATAATTAGGTGACCCAAATGGCAAAACTGAAAAATTAGTGGTAAAAGTAAAAGGGGTAAATAATTAGATGGTCAATGATATAGTTTACCCTAAAAACTAATGTTTTATAAATATTGTATTTTAATTAAATTACATTTATATTTTTATCTAATTTATAATTATACGTTTAATACTTTATAATTTAACGTTTTATAAATTAATTTAATAGTATTCATCGTTAACGGTACTCATCTATGCTCGACGAGCGTTGTAAAATTTTTTCTATCAATTATCATTAAGTTGGAATGGTTATCCATGAGATCGAGCCGAATGTTTTATTCTTTTAAATCTTAGCATGATATTCTTTTATTCGTTATTTGATCTAAATTTAGGATAATTTTATTTATTTGATTTTTAAAGTGAAAATTTGTATTTGTATACGTACCCGATACACACACTTATATATTAGAATGGACAAAAGATTTTAGGTTAAGGGCGGGAACTTATAAAATTTGATGTGACGAAAATATATTATAAATAAAAAATATATATAAAATATATGAAAATTTAAAATTTCCAAGAGACAATCGTCTCGACCACCCCTTGATCATAATTATATATATATATATATATATATATATATATATATATATATATATATTAGGTAAATAGGACTTGATTGAGAAAACATAAATAAAAAAGTATTATAGTAATTATATTTAAATATATAAAAATTATTTTCGAGTCACATCAGATCATATATATTATATTATCTTAAAAATAAACTTGATCCAAATTTATACTTCAAAAGGTTTGACCCAATCCACACTCATTTAAAAAAAACTATATCATATAAGATTAGGTTAAGATCTGATCAAAACCCATCAGATTTACGTCAAATAACCACCCCTATCTATAACGTTATGCATAAATCAAAAGATATTAATTGAACAGAGTTAATAACCTCATTTAAAAATACATGTGTCAAGCACGAACCAAACGACCTTAGTAGTTAAGGAATTTGTTATTATCTTTTGAGGTCTCGAGTTTAAGCATCGCAAATATCAGAGGTATAAGTGTTCATTGCTAAATGGTTGAGTACTTGAACAAATATTGCATTGTTTTTACCCTATATTTGTAAAAAAAAAATACACGTGTCAAATATTTTTGTATATAACGCATACATATATTACATTAAATACTTTTAATATATATATATATATTGATAGATTTTGGATAAATACAAGGTAGTATGATATATTGATATATAAAACATATTTTTTTCACAGGAGTTCGTGAAAAAAGAAAATATGTTATCAAAATATAAATATCAAATTTAGTACTATCCTGACTATAAAAAGAAAATTAGTTTTGATAATTCTTTATTTTTAAATATTAATCAATTGAAGTATGTCCGTTTCTTCGTGCCTAATAATTAGGGGTGAACAAAATTGAATTTAATATAAAAATTAAAATTTTTAATTTGATTTTACTCAAATTGACATCAAGTAGTAATTTCATTAAATTGAATCAAAAAAATTTCAAATTCAAGTGATGTTATAAAATAGATCTCGAACAACTCGAATAATAATTTGAATAACTCGAAATTTGTAGTAATTAATGGATTAATTTTTAAGTTTGAATTGAGCCCCTCGACTCTATATGATATATGTATATCGTATATGAAAAAAATATAAAAAATATATGTGTATTGTATATAGTTACAAAAGATTGTTTAAATTGAAATCAAATAGTATCATATTATTATAAATATTTATAATTAAATTTAAACATAAATTCGAACAATACGATTTGACTCAACTCAAAAAATTCAAATTAAGTATGATTTATAAAACATGACTTGTCAATTTAAATAACTTAAAAATATAACTTAACTCGATTGAACGTTCATTGCTACTTAAAAAAGTAAAAAGAATCATTTATACCCCAATATACTAAAATCAGTCGGACGCGGAATACACTTATCGAACGCCAAAACGGTTCCTGTAAACTACAATAATCAGAGACGGATGTAAAACTTTACATTAGAGGATTTGAATTTAAAAAATTATATTAAAAATTTAGATATACAAAATTATAAAATCTCAACAAATGTAAAATTAAATAATCTATAAAAAAAAATATAAGAAAAATATATTTATAATTTTTAAGAGTGCCACCGCATCCCCAACACCCCTCGTTCCATCCCTGGGGACAACGAAATAGGGAGAAAATAAACCAATAATTCATATTTCTCTCCCGTAGTTTCTGAAACCCTAAAATATAACAATTCTTTAGAAACTCGAACGGATCATCTCTTCAATTGTTCAGGTTTTCTTCTATTCCTATAATTTCCCATCGTTTTTCCTGATTTTGTAGTTATCTATAGATTTGTCATTTATATTTCGATAGGATATTAAAGCTTTAACGATTTCCCCCCCCCCCCGGAATTTTTGTGCAATTATGCTTTAGATTTCCTTTTCGGCGAAGGTTTATTTTCATAGGGGTTGTGCTGAACAGAATGGCCTCCCTATCAAGTCAGCTGCAGTTCCGTTACACTCAGCCCCCGTCGAAGGTGTTGCATTTAAGGAACTTGCCGTGGGAGTGTACGGAGTAAGAGTTGATCGAGCTGGGGAAGCCGTTTGGTAAGGTGGTCAATACCAAGTGCAATGTTGGAGCCAATCGCAATCAAGCTTTCATCGAGTTCGTGAGTTTTAGTCTCTTGCTTCGCTTCAAATCTCATCCTATTTTCTCAGTAATGTTCGTAATTGTATTTTTATTTTTATTTTTGGTTTTTTTTTGTCTAGGCTGATTTGAACCAGGCTATTGTTATGATATCGTATTATGTTTCATCTTCAGAGCCTGCTCGTGTTAGGGGAAAACGGTCTACCTGCAATATTCTAACAGACAAGAGATTGTAAACAACAAACTACAGCGGATATTGCTGGCAATATTCTTTTGGTAACAATCGAAGGTCAAGATGCGCGGCTTGTTTCCATTGATGTTTTGCATCTGGTAAGGAATATCTTTGTTTTTTTTTTGGGTTAAGGATTTCCGGGTTTGATCTGAGTTTATGTAATTACTAGGACTGTGTGGTTTTTGTCATGCTATTTTCACAAAAAAGGCTTTTTGTTGTTTTGACATGACATGAATATGAATTGATTCGCAGGATCATGTCAAGGGAATTATCTCCAATGGCAGCTTAGTGCATCCGGAGAAAGAGTACATGTGTATTTGTCTCCTTTCTCCTTTCCTTAACACTACCTCTCTTCCCTAATCTTCTTACGTACCTCCTACTCCTACCATTTAGGGTGTTTTTTCATTTCTTCTTTCATGTGCATCCCTCTCCCTTGGACTTTTTAGATGATTTATATCACTATGTTTTTTATTGTGCTGCTACTTCTAAAAGAAGGTTTATCGTGTTTGTGCATGTGGTCTATAATATTTATTCGTGCAATAAACTATAGATGCTAGCTTTATTGGGTGCCAAAATCTTCCTAACCTTGGTTTGTATTGTCACTCAGATGAAGCCATGGCTACTTTTAGGGGAGATGCCAGCTTTTGTCACGTGAACATGATTTCTGATTATTAGGGGAGATGCTAGCTTTTGTCATGTGAACCTGATTTCTGATTAGGTAGCATATCATTCATGTAATCAGTGTGTTTTCTGTCTGCTGATGCCTGTTATTCTGCTAATGAATGAGTGGTTACATCGATACTCCTTTGAAGATTGAAAGTCTCTTCTGCACCTTCTGTGCTCAAGCAAGCATACTTATCTCTTGCTATTTTGGAATAAAACATAATTTCTAATTATTAATTTAGGCCTGAAATCTTATAGTAACAAACTAACAATTTAAGGTTCTAGTTGTTACAAACTAAATGTTTGTTTCTGAAGTTTATATAACTGTATCTGTTTTCGGAAAGTGAGTGAATCATTTCTTAGATATTATTCTACTAAAGAACATCAGCTATATTTCTTAGGGAACAATATAATCTACAAAGGATAGTATATATTAGTGCCTGCTGTTCAAATATATATACTTACTCCATGACTTCATCTTTCAGAAATGTAGGTTTCCTGGGATCTTAATCAACATGTTTTGCAATTAGGTTTCTGATTCTAGAATATGCTGCATACTGCAACTTTTTTCTTAACTTAAATCTGAATGGTCTTTAAGACTTTTGAATGCTGGAGAATTTAAATATGAAGCTGCTGTTGTGTTTTATCCTTAAAGAGTATAGTGCTTGTATTAGAGTTTTACTCAGGAGATACGTAGAACCTGATAACCTTGAATTTTTAGCAGCCTAAAGTGTAGCTTTGGGTTTTGGAAAGATTTGTGGTTTCTGCGTTTTAATGCCTTGGAAAAATGATTGATTTTACGTAGAACCTGATTTTACCTTGCATTTTTGAACTCAGGAGATACATAGAACCTGATAACCTTGGTTTTTTACGTTGTTTTTCTTTTTATATTTTTCTGCATTTTAGTACCTTTTAAAAATTATTGATTTTACATCTTCTGATTGTTGTTAACATATTTGGAAAATCTGTATTGCATCTCTGCAATTGTCAAGCTCTATAATAAGTTCTGTTTCTTCTATCTCATTGCTTAAGGCCTGATGTGTTGGACTTATTGACATTCCTTATTTTCTGGCAGATATGAGGGAATTATAGATTGCAATAACTTTTTGGAGTCTGTTTACTTGAATTTTCCCCCCATTCATCTTTCTAAAGTAGTTAATAATGTAGGTATTTTCAGCCTTTTGGATTGGTGCATAAAATTACCACCTTTGAGAAGACAGCTGAATTCCAGATCAATAATCTCCTTTCTGTATTGATTGGTTTGCTTCAGCTTCTGAAAATAATACACAATCTTTATTTTGTTCAGGCATTGGTTCAGTTTTCTGATTAAGAAACAGCAACGTCTGCAAAAAATGCCTTGGATGGACGAATCATCCCTAGGTAACTGCTAATTGTTAGACACAGTATTTAGTCCAACTATAGTAGATCAAATTGCTTCATTCATTCTCTGACACACGTATATTGATCCCTAAAACTTTTTACTGTATCTATATGTGTTGCAACGTTTCCGATTGTTTGCGTTCTTTTAGTTCTCGACAGTAGAAAACTAAAGAGCAGAATTGTAGTATCCTCCACAAGCAAAGCTTTTAATATTACAGCTTATGTGGTCTTGCATGGCTATTGGTTTTCTTGCACAATGATCTACTGACTTTTTCCTGTGTTCCAGGTATCTGCTTTCTGACAATATAGCTCCTTCTACGTTTAGGATAACATATTCTGCTCATACAGATCTGAGTGTGAAATTTCAGAGCCACAGGAGCAGGTATTCGTTATATGCATTACCATTTATTGGGCTGCTGCACTTCCCTTTGCTATTGTATGTTAATTAGGAAAATTGTTTTTCTTTTCTTTCTTTCTTTTCAGGGAATATACCAATCCCTACCTTCCTGTTGCCCCTTCGGCTATAGACAGAAGTAGCCAGGTAAGCAATATTGAATTGATTTGCTTAACAGTAGATATAATTGTAATTTTGTTCGCGTTATGTGGAGTCTTTACCGGGTACAAAGCATTAATATTAGCAGAAGGTACTTGACATAACTTTATTAAAATGTTTACATGTAATTTTTTTCTCATGCAATCGTGATTCAACTCGTTATCTGTTTTTCTCCTGAGAAATGAATAACATTGCCACTATGATGTATTGTATAGTGCTTGTCTAATACTTTGTTAATTAGATTCGTTCGTTTGATATCATTACAGTTCAATTTGGGTCTTGATGGAAAAAGGCTTGAACCTGAGAGTAATGTGTTACTTTCATCCATCGAGAACATGCAGTATGCTGTTACCTTGGATGTGGTACACATGGTATTTATTAATTACTGTAAGGAACACTTGTTGGACCGTCTAGTACCCTAATTCAATACTGATTACCTTATATTTTCTCTCTTTTCTTTTGTACCATGTTTAGGTCTTCTCTGCTTTTGGCACTGTTAAAAAAATTGCCATGTTTGATAAGAATGCTGCACTGCAGGCTCTAATTCAGTAATCTGGTAATGTTAAAACATGTTTATTTATCACGTCTTAAATGGTTACCTCTTCCATCAGGATGGTCCATTATTGAGAATCTCTCACTAGTGCCAAAAAAGTTAGTTTTAGACTGAGCTTGCGTATGCTTACAAATTCATAATTGGTGCCTAACCCATTATTCTTTTTATGTTATGGAAAAAACATATGAAAGAGGTTGGGCATTTTATTTCCGTCGTTCCTCGAATTCAAGTATTAATGGTTCCATGTTTCGGCAGATGTTCAGACAGCTATTGTTGCCAAGGATGCCTTAGAAGGGAACTGTATATATGATGGAGGGTTTTGCAAACTTCATCTCTCTTATTCACGCCACTGATCTTAGTATGAAGGTATTTGTGCTTTTAATGCAATAGTTTAGCTCGATGGCAGAATTAAAGGCCGTGCATATTCTTAGCACCTTTTCTTTAAGCATAGAGAAAGGTGTTGGGAGATTTATAATGTCATGGTCGTATCTTCAGAAGCCGACTATGTTTCGTTACATTAATAACATGGTTCATCATGCGTTTTTATGCAGTTTAATCTAATACGGTTGGTTTATCTCTGCAGCTCAACAATGATAGGAGCAGAGATTACACGATCACTAATCCTGCCGTGGTTAACCCACAGCCTTCAGGTTTGGGGCAACGGCCAATTCAAACAATGGGTCAAGCTGGTCATCAATTCAATGGGACTCAATATGCTGCTCTTGGTATGGGGCAACCTGTGATGCGTCCACAACCCTCAGCCGGATGGAGAACCTCAGCCATTCCGGCAGTGTCCCAGTCAATGCCGGTACAGATAACAAATCATAATCCTTACATTCTTCCATCTTTGATGCCTCAAATGAGCCCCGGAATGATGCAAATGCCGGGCCATATTGGCTTACCAGCACCCGCTTCAAGTATGCCCCCTTTCAGACCCAATCATATGTAAAATATCACCTCTCTATCCGGTATCAATGTATAAAAACTCATTGGGTTGCCTTTTTGTTTTTTTTGTTTCTATTTCTTTATAAATCGACTAACCATTTATTCTTCATGCCGCTTATAAATTTCGGTTTTCTTTAGCAACTTATTAAGTTCATCTCCTAAAATTTTCTCATGGAAAATCCTGGATCAACTGTGTAAGAATTAAGCCCTACCTCTTCCCATCTTTCAACAATGAGGTTCATCTACTACAAAGGAAATCCAGCACATTAAGTTCAATAAACAAAAGGAGAGACCAATGATAAAGTACAAGAAATGCAGTGTATGTGTGTAGAAGATGGAAGACCGACAATTGCCAGTCCATCCCTAAAGGCCCTACCAGATACGAAAAGCCTTTTGAAGCTTCATCCATGGCAACTATATCCACCTCATTATTTTTCTTTCATCTCCTCGATCACAACTACTTTCATAGATCAATAGGCTCGGTCCGGTCCTGCACTGCTAGCCCCTCGGAGACATCTGCCAGTGATTTGAGGTTGCACTTGATCAAAGCTTCAACAAAGTAGCATGTCTCATCCCTTGTGTTCCCTTCAGGCACATCTACCACGAAGGATTCAATGACTAATGTCCCCGGTCTTCCGTCAATGATCACCGGATGGAGGGAAATGATTGAAGAGTAGTTCTGGATAAAAATAAAAAATAAGGTCAAAAGGCATCAAACTGGGTCTGCATCTCCAATTTACAACTGTTTCACATAAAAGTTGAACTTCATGATCATGACTTGTCAACTAATTAACTTTTTGTACCAAAACATTCAGGAAACCAAAATTTAGCTGCAAATCTAACTATACTTTTCAGGATTTAAAAAAATACCCATAAATTCATCCAAAATTCGGTAACACACATACTTCACCAACCTCGGCAAATATTACAAAACCGGCAACCATCTTGTAGAACATAGCTCAATAAGCTGCAAGCAAATGCATCTAATCTACTTTGTTCTAAAGAACAAATGGACTTGAGATACAAGAGATGGGTGATTATTTTTCTGAACAATTTCTACCTAGGGGGAGATTTTGCTCCTAATGGGTATATAACCCACAACCTAGGGGAGAAGGTAAATGCCAACTGTGAGCTTTTAACCACTTGTTCTATAAGTAGTTGGCAGAGATAGGTGATATTGAATGTAAATAAGAGACTAACAAAGGTTAAACCGAGACAGAGGGGGGGGGGGCAGAAATTTTTTTCTACCTTAAGTCTGTGATCACCACCTATAATCTTGATGCAGAGGATATGCTCGTTATCATCAAGGAGTTCCAATCTTTCAGTACTCGTAGTAGCCGGGAGACCCGACTTGACATCAACTTCTCTAAGACTTCCAATCTCGAGGTTTCCCTGTGCGACGCACCTGCTCACAAAAGGTTTATACTTCTGAGGTTGGTCAAACCTCCTCACCAAAGACCAAACCTGTAAAATGAAAATAAAGACAAAGCAATACAAGTTTCAGCGAAAATTATGCATATTCGGGAAAAGGAAAAGAGATCCAACCAAGAAGATAGATTAACAAGTTGAGAAACCAAAAAACATAACAATCAAGATCTACAATTGCGGAGGATCGAATTATTTGTACATTATCTGAAAATCCACTTAGTTTTCAATATTTCCGCTTTCATTGGTGTATCCTTCCTTCAAATATAAACATTTCATGCGGTACGTGCAAAAAAAATGGAGACAGAAGAAGAAATAGAGATTTGGAACATATACTTACGTCATTCCCATTTCTAAGAAATACAATAACAAACAAGATAAGTTGCATTTAATCGATTAGATCATAACCAGATTGTTTCTATATAAAGCAATTAACTATATCATAGAAATGAATTTATTCTGGAAAAAAACTTGGGACAATTAAATCAATCAAAAACTGTTCAAACTGAAGGAAGAAAGTTTTGAGTTGCTCCCAAGCATTGAACTTAATCAAAATTATTTGTTTCGCCCACAAAAGATCAGAAAATGTATTCTCTAATTCAACATATTATGCAAATTTCAATCACCGGGACAGTAAATGTAACAACTTCAAATCAATCTTCTGTTATTATAATTATTCAATGAAAGAATAAAAAAAAATTGAATCAAAACAATCAAAGACTTCCAGAAAAGAAAACCACCACAGATCAAGATTAATCCTTCCGGAGAAAAAGAAGTCAAACATTGAAAAAAATCTCACTAAGAAAACATGAAGAATAATTACACACACAAAAAAACCCCCGATGGATCAATGAAGCTATCAAAAGAGGGAGCATCATAAAATCTCCGAAACAGATCCAAAGAAATGAAAGGAAACGAAAGAAATAGAATATTATAACTGACACGAATCTTGAGATGAATTGAAAGATATAAAACGTAAACAGAGAGAAAAAGAAAGTTGCCAGAGGAACAGGAGCTTTGATGTGCTTTACGAGAACTGAACTACACTGATTCTCTCCACTCTCATGAAGATGATGTCTCCTTATATAGTCAGCCGCCGCCGCCGCACTCCCAAATCCATTGCTATTACCATTCATTTTCACTCTTCTTATCTACCTACAAAAACTCGCTTTTCTCTCACGCAACTAACAACAAACGATAAATAAACGCTCTACCTCGTCTCCTACGAAGGAAACAAGGGTTTCGATCATCGACCGGACTGATACTCCGACGAGGATTCTATGATTTTGTTCAACGCGGTTTATCTGGAAAAAAGCTTGCGAGTAACCGCCATAAAAAAGAGGGAAGCCTACCTCATCCCCTGAAATAATAATAATAAAAATCTCTTCGATTTGACATTGGATTAACAATTTTATTACGAGAATTGCCATTGATTGGAATTTTAATCTTTACAAGGGATAAGTCACATTTTGGCCCCTCAATCTGTCACCCTCTCCCAATCTGGTCTCTGTTTTTATTCAATATTAGTCTTCAAACTTAAAATCTTTTTCAGTTTAATCCTTAAACTTAATTTTTTTGTCTTTCTAATAACGTGATATTGTTATATTATTTCATATCATCACATGAAAAATCCAATATATATATATATATATATATATATATATATATAAGTATTCAGATGTAACACATCTCAAAGTGTTGTGTCAAAATTGAAAAGTTGTGAACCAATATAAACCCAAAATGAATCAGAGATCAAGTATAGAGACAAATATTACTTATTGTTGGTCTAATTTTCACCTCAGTCCCTGTATTCTCAAGATTAATTCTTATACTTTTAAGTCGATAAATCCATTCCCTTTATTTGTCCAATTTAAAATGTGAAATCAAACTAACAATACTATTAATTGATTTGCATTAAATTTGAATATATGATATAAATCAAACTTTAATTTCAAAAACTATAAATTTCACTATTAGAATGTTACATATTAAATTGAACAGAATTCCATTAATCATAATATTTTACTTCAATTTTAAATTAAAATATAATAAATTCCTGAAATTGAAACAGAAGGACAAACATTCAAAAGTTCAAAGAGTTTAGGGACTAAAAGTCAATTAACCCATTAGCTGATATTAAAAAGCAATTTTTTCTTCTCTCTTGTAATTAATATTTTTAACTTCATATAATTATTTTAGAACATTATTGGTTATTGTTTTTATAAAATACATTATTGGTTAATTGGATCACTGGTTTTAGAAAACTGAAAAATAAAACCTTTAATATTCAATTGATTTTTTTAGGAAAATGTCGGTCCATTAATGGTCCATCCTCATTTATATTATGGTTTGCCGTGCTGCCGAAATAATTTGTAACTTGGCACGAATCAATTTAATTCAACGTTAAGAGAATCATTGTTGTTTCAAAATGTCACAGGTTCGAACACTAACGGTTGCAAGGGTGATTGAGTGTTCATTATCAAATAATTCAGAGTATTAAAAATATATATTACTTTGTAATCACCTTTAGCTTAATAAAAAAAATTATAATTTCCATTCTTAACCTTTTTATTTTTTATTTTGCTTTTCACCCTTCTAAAATTTTGTGGAGATAATGGACTTTTAAATTTTTAATAATATTTAACTAAAAGGGCCTTAATTGTTAATAAAATAAAGTAATTACTTTTTAAATGCTTTAATTTTATATATAATAATGCACTCAAGTACACTTCGGTTAAATTTAATCTGTCTTATGGGTGGATGCATTCTCTATATTTATATATTAGGATAAACTATTCGTTAGTCATTGAACTTTAGTTTAGATATTGATTTGGTCATTAAACTTGAAAATTATTTAATTTTAGCAATAAATTTTCAACACTGAATTTACGCGAAAACCTACTAAATAACAAGATGATTAAAAAAATTCAATGTTGAAAATTCAGTGTTACAATTAAAATGTTATGAAGTTTAGTGACCAAATCAATACTCAAATTAAAATCCAGTGACTAATTGGATAGTGTTCCCTATTTATTAAATGCAATATTTTCTATCTTGATTGAAAAAAAAAGAAATTAAAAATATGAAATTATTAAATAACAATACATTTTGAAGAATATCCTAAGTTAACACCGTTTAGCCATTGGCTCGGCTTTTCACTTGCTCCAAAAGCCAAAAAAAAAATTTGTATAATTTTCATCATTTTTTTGTATAATTGTAGTATATGAATATATTTTATTATAATTATTTTTTTAAATAATTTAAATTTATTATATGGATTTGATAGGTAAGTAATTTATATTGTAAGTTATGTTAAAATTTTAAAGATATAAATTAAATTATTAAAAATATAAAAAAACTATTTTTTTAGTAAATACAATCACCCCTAATACTCTCGGATCCATCTCTAGCTACAACTATCTGAAATGTGGATAGGGATCGGTATGAGTCGGGTTGGGTCGGATTTTTGATATACCTGACCCGAGCAGAGAACAATGACTTCTCCACACGAAATTCGACTTGACCCGTATAATATATACCCTCCACTTGATCCGACTTTTTGAAATAAAATCTGAACCCGATCTGACCCTAAATAATAATAAAATATTATTTTTATTCAATAAAAATAGTGATTTAATTGCAAAAAATAATATATATAGAGTTATTATTGTAATTATTCCTAAATATATAAGGTAAAAATATATTATTTTTGGTTGGGTCGGGTCAGATATTTTTCACCATAAACCCGATCTGACCCAACCCGAACATCACCTTTAAAAATCCAACATAACCCGATCCTAATTTAAAAAAAAATCCGATCCGTTCGAGTCGGATCGGGTCGAAACCCGTCGAGTTTGGTTTCATGCCCATCCCTAAACGTGATGCTATTATATTATAAAACCCTGTTGCAATCATAATTGATCTCAGTCTGTACCTATTGGTTTATGTGTGTAAAAATGAGGCAATTGCTTTTTATCACAAAATACACCATTGATATATGTGTAAAAAAATAGTTTTTGTTTAAGTACTAAATTATACATTAAAACCAAATTCAAGTATCAGAATATATATTTACCCTAAAAACCAATGATATTATCAACTATAACTGTCACTTTTAATACCATATTATTAATGAACACTTTTTAGAGGGAGAACGATTTAATATTTTCGGCCAAACAAAACCAACGGAAATAAAGACGTACACAATTAATCGTGGCGGCAAAAACCTCACACTACGCGCAGGTTGTTTAAGAACGATAGCTAGCATTATTTGGTTTAATTCTTCTTGTAGTCCTTGTACTCTTTGTTCGTTTAAAATTTAGTCATTTTACTTTATTTGATTTTATTCTGCTGGTGTGCTTGTAGTCCCTGTTTCTATCATCGATTACGGAAACGCAACCCCATTTTCACTCAATCCTTTGAAAACTCTATGTGACATTAAAATATTAAACATAATTCATATAAGAAAAAATTTTAACCCTTAATCAAAGTCTAATCGATAATTCAATGCAATGTGTGGTGACAACCGTACGATAATCACAAAGAAGAGCATCGATTCAACTCAATTATCAATGAGTAATATTAAATAAATGTGGAGTGAATTAAGTGGAGATGAGATTCATTTTGTTTTGGTCTGTCGAAATCTTCATATACATATAATGTATTGACTATCGGTGGTTGTCATGTAGGCAGCACTTTACTTTAGGATTAATGGCATCGAAGAACATTAATTAAATAATTAAGAAGATATTGCTCCATCACAATACATCTTTCTCACCACTCCAGTTCGCTACAACACTAATCCATAGCTCACCTATGATTAAATATATTGTTAGCCACTGGTGCCTGCTGAAGCCGATGTCAAAAGATTAGGCATTAAATTTTACAACGTTAGCCACTAAGCTAAGCTATACAATGGACAAAGATGAAGCTGGGGATTCTATGGCAAAGAGAACCTCCGTATGCTTTTAGATTTAAAACAACATTAACTTAATAGCTGGCATCAGCCAACCAGGGAAAAACCTTGGGGAAAAGGAACAAAATGTTGAAAAACGGTGCACATGGGTGCACATGACACCGAAAATCATTCAATTGCTTTGTCAAATAGGAGCACCGAAAGGTGTAGAAAATATATTATTTTATTTTATGGTAAAATCATATATAGTCATTGTAATTTAAGGTATTTACAAATTAGTCCTTAAGTTTCAACTATAAATACCCTAGCTCATTTAGCTTCAAAACCATCCCAAAATATATTAGTTTTCTTCCAATACTAGAGAATTTAGAGAGTTTATTGAGAGTTTTTTTCTCTTTTTTATCAAGAGATAATTATCATTGTTTTCTCCTTGGTAGATTGAGAGAGGTTGTAATTCTTATTTTCTCATAGTGAAATTCTTCTACTATTGCCCGTGATTTTTACCATATATTATTTAGGGGTTTCCCACGTAAATTTTGTGTCATCTTTATCTCTATTTTTTATTTTCTCAAATTATCAGTTGCGATTTTGCTCTATCCGATAGTCGTCTTCCGCAACAATTGGTATCAGAGCCAGGTTTGAGTATGTAATATCTGCTTATTGTCTTTGTGGTTGCCACCAAAAGGTGGATCCTCCAACATAAGAAAATAATAAGGTATTACCCATTCTTTGAGGTTCTAGAGAACTATTCACGATAGTGAAATAGTGGAAGCTATCATTAATAAAAGCTATGACAACAAAATTTGACATTGAAAGGTTCAATGGGAGAAATTTCTCATTGTGGAAATTGAAGATGAAGGCCATCCTGAGGAAAGATGGGTGTCTAGCGGCTATCAATGAAAGGCCGGTGGATTTCGCAGATGACAGCAAATGGAACGAGATGGACGGGAATGCTATGGCAAACTTTCATCTAGCATTAGCAGATGAAGTATTGTCAAGCATCGAGGAGAAGAAGACAGCTAAAAAGATATGGGATCATCTCACCAAATTGTACGAGGCCACATCGCTGCACAATAAAATTTTCCTTAAGAGGAAATTGTACACTCTCCGGATGCCATAATCTACTTCAGTGACGGAGCACTTAAATACACTTAACACTTTATTTTCTCAGCTTACATCCTTAAGTTGTAAAATAAGAGAACAATAACGTGCTGAACTTCTACTTCAAAGTCTACCGGATTCGTATGATCAACTCATCATCAACTTGACAAACAGTAATGTCACCAGTCTAATATTCGATGACATTGCAGCTGCTATTCTACAAGAAGAAAATCGGCGCAAGAACAAAGAAGACAGACAAGTAAATCTGCAACAAGCAGAAGCGTTGACAACGATGAGATGGAGATCAACAGAACGTGA